CAAGTCTTTGGCCACAGTAGTCGCCGCAAAGCGTTGCCTTTTCACTCCTTCTTGTTGTTATTGCTCTTCTTGTCTGCGGTGACTTGCCTTTTTGCGCCAAAGGTAAACAAAGCCTCGGCTTGCTGGCCGACTAACTGATGGCACGAAGCGTCTGCCTCTGCATTTGCATATGAAAGCGCGAAAAGGGTTAAGGCAGAGATATACTCGTGTGTATCTTTGTGTCGCTAAGAGGGGGAGCCGCATTCTTTTGCTTTGAAACATGCATGTTTGTTATTTACAAAAAAATATTAAGTATGCGCTCAGCTAAAGAAGCCATACAAATATTTTATGGTCTTCCCCACCAGCACAGAATTTACATCTTTCGCTCACTTCTAATGTAATGCACTTACATGTTGTCTGTATTACCGCTTCGAACGGATATCCTTCCATGCGTTAATACATACAGACATACATAGGTATAAACAAGCTGCTTGCCTACCTAGTAGAGTAAATATTTATATCGACATTGGCGTTTGCTAGCAATTGATATGCGAAAACAATGGTCTACAAGCAACAATTGTAGTCTAATATTTTCTTTTATTTGGCCTGCAAGACAATTAAATTTTACACGACAAATAAAATAAATGATATATTGCATAATGTTTGAAATTGATTTTTTTGTTAAGAAAAAGACTGACCTTTGACAATGAAGAAAACTTTATTAAATGCAGACAATCGGAATATAAATAAAGCTAATATTTTAAAGAGTGTTTATAATATTTAAAATTACAAAAACAATTGAACAGTTTTATTGAGCTTTTAAAAAGTATTTGACAAAACAAGTGTTCAATAGATAAAGTTCATGTTTACATTTTACGAAAGTGTAGAAGACTTGCGGAGATTGTTTAAATTTATGCCAAAAGCAGTCATTAATGGACTTCAAGTGTCCAACGAAACTTTCTTTAGGATTTATAAACCATACTGATTAACTTGATTATGGGGAAAAATTGGATTCAACAAAGCACAGAAAATTTAGTGCATAAGCAAAAATAATACTATCAATAGTATTAAATTCGTTTAAGGAAAAATGAGGGACAGTTCATTCATATAAGTAACACCCATTACCAGACTGATTTGCAATACGCATATTGGCATATAATTTGATATGCTGCCGAAAATAAGTCTTAAACTTTTTTTTAGGCAGCACCTAAACCTGAACTTTACATCCACGTCTTTATAAATATATTTAAAAGTTTAAGTGAAATGCCAATATGCATTAAAAAACGGTAGATAACTAACTTGAACTTAGTTTATTTGGCTAAGAAAATTATTGAAATTATTTGCATATTGAAGCCTAAGCCTTACTTTGTAATAATCAGAAACAATTCATCAATTATTTACTAAGCTAAACCTAGAAACCTAAAGATGCTTAGAATAAATTTTTATTATCTCATTTGTTTTTTTCTCAAAACGCAAGTATTTGCCGGACCGAATGCCAAAAAAGTTGCAACATTAATTTATTTCGCACTCTCCTTTGTTTGAATTCCAATAAACTTCAATGCAGAACTATTTTGATTTACTAAGTATTTTATGCTGTGAGCCGTGAGATGCCGCTTCAACTTAATATTACTATAATTCAGTATTATTATGGTAGCAATGTGTAGAAGAAAGTCAACATTTGCAGCTGCCGAACGACAACGTCCATTGCATTTGACACATTCAGAAATGCGCACAGATGTGTCAAAGAAGCTAAAGGAGAGCCCCTGGAAAGGAGCCGGATGTGAAAATTGCGAAAGCGGAAAATGAAGCAAACTGAGTGGCGCCGATGCCGCTGACTTGATTAAACTATGCTTTTCAAAATGGCAACATGTCTGTGCCAGCTAATTGTTGAGCAAATCGAGTTAACATGACTTCCCCCATTGCTGGGAAACTTTGCTGAGCGCCTGTGCGTATGCTACACAAGTAGAAAAAAAGAAAATAAGTAAATGGAAGGGAAAGTATGTTTTAACATTAACTTTTCAGTTGATTTTCATTTTTTAATTAATGTGCTTTCTGGTACTTTCCGGTCCTTTGATAAACTTTGTCTATGTATGAGCCTTTTCGCTTACTTTCGAATAATATTGTTGAAGATGAGTCGCACTTTAGCAATTTTTTGTATCCTCGGAATGCTGCGAGTATCAGAGGCTTATTTATTATTAATTGAAATAAATTACTTTTTGTGGCAAAAATAATTTTCATGATTTGATTCAATCCACAATTTTCAGCTCATGCCCAACTGATTTGTTTAATTGCTGGTTTAATTTCACAATTGGACAGCCGCCCCAACAAAGCCAACCATTAATCAATTGCCTGCGGATTAGGAACAGCGTGGGGATGAAGTGTGAGTGTCTATATAGAGTAAATATTATTGCAGAGTCAATAATTATGCAATTTAAATTGGATTGTGAGTGCTGCAAGTTTTGGTGTCTATTTAATTGGTCCGTAATTTAAGTGCGATGTAGTATTTGGAATTGATTGATTGCGGCCGCATGTGCTTGTTGACTTAATGAACTGTACAATACAAGCTCAATCAAATAATTTGACTGCATGGATCCCAACAATACAGAACGATGAAGCAGAAGAGCATTGAATTGCTTGCAGCATTTTGTTGGCTTCGTTGGCGAGAAAATAAGTTGTTGGCACAAACGCCTCGACTAATTACCTTATTTATACAAAAGTTTTATAAACAAATCACTGATTTCGTGTCTTCCATAAACTAGCAATGGATTTATTTCACTTTTAAGACGAAACACTTTAAGCGGCAGACTTTTTCTCTGCTATTTTGATATTAAACACTCCCCGTCAGCGAAAAACAAACTGTCTTATATGTAAATACTGAAATATTAAATTGAATAATCTTGCAGCCAATCGTTATATCAATGTTATCTTCCCATTTATGAATAACTTTTTATTATTATTATTAAATCCATCTACTATTAGTTAGTTTTTCACACATAAGTATTCGTTTTTTGTGAATGTCAACTTTTCCTTTCCTTTCTATTTAACGAGCATTAGATGCTAAAACGTTGATTTAATGTTTTCTATCTCTTGATGTTCCCTATTCTAACTGAATTTTATTCAAATCTTTTCGATAAATCTGCGTATGAGTTTTAAATAACATATTTATGTAGTACCACGTCAAGTGTATAGTTCATTTATTTTCTTAGTTATTTCTATAACGTATCTACATTATTATCTATGTCGACAGCACATGTTTTGCTGATAAATAAAATAAAAAGACAAAGCTAGTCCTGTTAAGTAAATATTTAATAACAAATTTTGTGAAATTTAAAAAAATACAAATGCATTGCTTATTTTTTAACGTACAAGTATGTTTTAATTTTACCTAAATCACAAAATAATTAAGTTTTAAATTCATTGTTTTTTCATGATGATCATTAAACAAAAAAGTTTATATATATTATCATTACGTTAATTATTTGCACTTTAATTTAATGCCCATTAATTGCGGATCTTTGTTAAGCAAAAAGTTCAATCGATTTGTATATTAGTACTTCGTCATTATTTTCTTACTTTGTTGTGTATTGTAAAACGCTAAGCTCTTAGAAGCTACTTATCTGCCAGTTACATCACTTTATTATAATAACAATTTATAGTAAAAGTAATTAAGGAAATCTCAATGATTTTCCATAAGAGTCGGTAATCTGAATGCTAATTTGAAATTACGCTGCGAATTACACTAATTACCTGTACTGTTTGATTTAATTGTTGCCAGAAAGCCGCAAATTTCTTAATCAGACACAAAATGCATTAACGGCTCATACTAATTATTTAACACTGTACTTCGCATTTTCCAGCAAATAGAATAAATAACAGGTTCTCAAAAAGCACGACTTGTTTATACTTTTGCGTGACTAACAATTTTTGAAAGTAAAACACCTTGCATTGAATAGTTCTATTAGTGTGTCCGTTTAAAATTCAAGATTTTAATTATCTTTTGAATTTGGAAAATATGTATTAAACACTGCACAGTTGTTATTGTTTAACATTTTCTTTTTAAACTTGTGATATTCATCATAAGTAGAAGTTTTAATTTCAGTTCAATTTTTTTTTAGCTCGATCCAACAAAGTCGAGCGCCGCGCGTTAACTGAGGCTAAGGCAGCAACGCAGCATCCTTAAATAGCAGCCATCCCCAGTAGCGGAGTGCGGGTTAGAATAGAGGCCCAACTGCTCAGTCGATTCATCTGTGAGCGCCGAGCAATCGCCACTCGTTGATGTAAAGCACACTTACACACACAGAGACAAATTGCGATGGTTGGGAACATGGCTAAGCTTTTACACTGTCTGTGTGGCTGGAAGGTTTGTTTTGATGCGGAAAGTTTGTTTTGATGATGAGAGCCGGCAAGAATGGCCAACACGTGGTTGGAGCTGCCAAGCCACAAAACTAAAGTAAGTAATATTAAAAAACAATTTCATTCGCAATTCGGCCGGCTATGCCCAATTGAACTAAGAACTATAAAAAATAAAAGGACTGAGTAAGCCGCTCCTTCGCTTCAGCCGCTGTTGTTTTTCAAGTTGTTCACGAGAAGTAATTTAGTATTATTATCACTTCGTGACCCTCTTCCCCGGAAGCTTCTTCAATAGAAGGGGGAGGCTCTGCTTGCTCGCCTTGTCCAATTGTCACTCAATTTCTCTGGTAAGAATACAAAAATCGAACACCTAAAATAAATTTAACAGCATGAAAGTCGGATTTCTCAGATAAAGCGCAATTATATTATTTCCGTCGTATTTCCCAAATAAGGTCGCACTATTTTTTTGCGATATCCAAGCTGTTTTTCCGAAAAAGACAGCAATTGAAGAACAACTGCCTAGGTTATTCACGAAGTTTCTTGCATTTTTGAAACTTTTTGTGGCATCAAATCGAACCTTTTTTCTAGCCCAGTAAGATATAAAGAAAAAGCATTCCTTTTTTTAGATACGCGCTCAGTTTATTTCAATTTGTATGGGCGGCCGCACATTTTATATTGTATATGTGCTGAAAATGCGTCGACCTTTCTGTTGCATTTTTTCAACAATCAAAAATAAACTAATAATATAACAATATAGCTTAATTAGGTTAAAAACAAACAAAAAATGCCTGCACTTAAACTAATTTAAATTAGTATAATTTATATCTTTACAATAAACTATTACAACGGTCCCTACTACTATTATTCAATTCCAAAAAAATACAATAATTATAGCCAATTATTAGCTGCATATATAAATTACTATTTCTATAAAATCTTTATACTCCTTAAGCTTGCAATATTTTTTCATATACATACATTTTAATAACAGACTAAAATCGTTATAAGCGCTTACAAATCCCACAATATTTGATTTAAAAGGGTGTTGCCAGTCCGTTTGTTGTTGTACTTGAAACTTTTGACTTTTTGACGCTGCTGTGATGTGACGACCCCAGAACTGAGTGGTAATTTATCTCTCGGGCGGGCCAATGTAGCTGCATGCCAGTTTAAGTTTTTCATATCGCCTGGATGTCCGGAATTGCTTGTTTGGAGTTGATGGCGTTGATGTTGTTGTTGTAGTTTTATAAACAGGTATACAATAGAGAGACAAAACATTAGTATAAACCCTTTCAATAATTTAAACACAAAAAAATACATTTAAACTTTAAAGCTAAATCTTAAAAATAATTCTCTTTAAATAAGAGGGAACAAACAAATTATTCTCCCCGAAGTTTTGTGTTAGCGTTATTGAATTTGTTTGTTTCAATTTATATATGAGGATTATATGATGTTTATCTGATTGTTTAGATTTGTTGTTATTTGTGTATGGGTGTAGGTATTATACGGTATAGTTTGTTAATGGGAGTTCGAGTGTGTGGTTATGTCAGGGAATAGTTTCAAAAGTTCATTTCTAATTTCACAGCTCATATCAGTTTCGTTATTTGTTTAACACTTTCACATCAATGAGGATTGTTTTTTAGTTCAGTAAGACAATCTTAGTTTTTGATATCGAATAATTAAATTGCTTAAGGGAATTTGCAGTTTTTTGATTGTTTGTTGGAGATTTCTAAAACCTAAAGGAGCAAGACCGAGGGGAAACAAAACATTGATGCCGATTCCGCAATGGTTTCGCAGCATAACGCCGGCAGCAACCGCCGAATCCAACCCTAAAATTTGTCGCTGTTCTCAGGAGCTTGCAATCATCCTCAGCACTTTTACGATCCGATTCCCAAAACTTTATCACTTTCGTTGCAACTCCAAAGTTCTGAAGCTGGTCCTTCTGCATAGCCGAATTCATGATGACTTTATCTGCAAAATTAAGATTTCAGGGATAACTGCGAGCCTTCCAGGTTCACCTGCGTAGCCGAGTTAAACATGACATGATCTGCAATCGGAGAAAAGGTAGTCGACATTCTTTCTCGTGGCGAATCTATGATGACTTCATCTACAATTTCGCAGCTGCAGTGGTTACGGAGCTTAGCACATTTCCATCTAAAAGTGTTAAAACCCGCATCAACTGCAATCAACTGTTTTTTGTTGACTTTATCTGCCAGCAGTGAAGCTCTGTGATCGGTCTGCATAGCTGGAACTGATGACTTTTTCCGCTGCAAGGCTATAACAAAGTCATCGGAAAGCCTCCTGTTTCTCAGGAGTTTGGCCCTTTCAATGCAATTTGAATCGCCTTTTTTGCCGAGTCCTTGACTTTGGGCCGCTACCAGGCTGAGCTAGCAGCCGTGGAAATCGTCGTACTCAGATTTTTTAAATTGAACATTGAATTTGAGAACAATGTGCCGGATTGCCGGTTCAGTATTTAGAAAATCTCCAACGATGGGTATGGTAACACACCATTTCGTTTGTAGGTTATTGATTAAATACCGCGGACTTCAAAGTATTATTGGCTTATAGATTCGGATTAGCTGATTGATTATTGATATTGTGTTGTCTTTGAAAAAATAAATGCGCAGATATTTAGCACGTATATAAACAAATTTAAAAAAAAAGGGGTGATTTTAAACAAAATGTTCGTAGGGGCACGCGTATTAACTAATCATTATATACACTCTTCTTTGTAAGGGGAATAACAGCGTGGGGGCGAAGGGACGCGAGCGAAAGGCGCAATTTAAACTCGTTATTGAGCATGTATTGTCTTTAGGAAGCGCTCGCGTTTATCACTCCACGATTGTGTTAAATATAAAAAGAATTGCCAACACTTTGTAATTAAGTGTTTCAAATGGCAATGGACGCGGCATTTTTGCAATCGATTTGCGCACCATTCGCTGCATACGGCAAACTGAATGTGTCGAGCCATTCTTTGCACTTTTCAGTGCTATCGAATGCGAGGATATTTGTGACATAATCGATGCTAAGATTGGGACGATAACTGGAATAGGGAAAGCAGTTAATATCATATAATTATAAAGCAATTGCATATACTTACGCTTTAATAATGGCGCGCAGTGCACACTTGCGCTCGCGCTCTAAGAACCACTCAATCATATGACCCGACATGAGTGGCGCTGTTTTATACAACTGAAACAATTTACAATAGTTGCCCAATGACCAGGCCGAGCGAAACTGTAAGGCATGCGCAATGGCAGGATTCTCGTGCTGATCAGTTGTAATCGAACGCAGTACAGTGGTGATGTCTGCAAATGTTCGTTCAAATTTGTTTATTCCTCTTTTCATCAAGGTGAAAATAATAATACTTACCCAAGGTATTTTTCGTAAAAATGTAGTAGAGAATACGATAGGCGGTAAACTCAAGTGAATTACTGCTATTGCCCAGTTCTAGATACAGCATCTTTAACTGGGTTTGACACTGATTGAACTCTTCGTGATCGCCCTTTTCCATGGCGATGCGCGCATGCGTCTCATATACTTCTACTGTAAACTTATCACGTATACCTTGGACCTGCAAAATAGGCGAATGAGTAAATAGTTCCAGATATCTATATTAGTCGCGTTTCAAAACTCACAGTCAAATCCTGGCGTATCGACTTCAACTGATCACACGCATAGTGATAATCCTGATTGTCACGCCACTTCGACTTAACATTGACCAACGAATGGGTCAACACCTCGACGGGACGCACCTCTGAGGGCATTGGGGCCTTCGTTAGACGCAAGAAAGACTTTTCTAAATCCCTACATGTGCCTACAATATGCAAATCGAGATAATCTAAACCGGCGCCAGCCTCTGAATCTTCGTAGAACATTTGGCGTGTGTTGGCCTGCAATTTCTTTTTGTTCTTGGCCGTTGTGAGACCAAACGGTGAGCTTGCAATCGCGACGACAGATTTCTTAGCAGAGTTTCCACCCTGCTGAGAGAAACGTGCCGCACGCTGTTGCAAGCGCGCATTGTCATCATCAACGGCACCGCCGACAGATGACGATTGTTTATAGAAATGCGGCTTCTGTTTGCCCGCTGCTTGTGCAGCGGCTGCAGCGCGTTTGTTCTTCTTCATCAGGATTTTTTGCTGTTTCCTCGACAAATTCGCAATCAACGGTATGAAATCGTTGGCATGACGTTCGATAGAGCTCGATTTACGCTGCACTTTACGCGCGGGCGGACTTGTTGAGTCCCTGCTGCGCGAACGGGTACGTGAGCGCGAATTTGAATGTGAGTAACGTTTACGATTATATCTGGAAGCGGACGACGTGGAAGAACTCGGTGAGCTGAAAAAATTAATTGTTTTAATAGCTTTAAATATGTAAATAAAGCAAGATTAAATATATACTGTGCATTTTTCCATACGGAACCAACAACTACTTTAATTCCAATAAATATATTTCACTTACCGCGAACGACTTCTGGAATAACGCGCCTGCTGATGTCCATAATTAGCGTTAGAGGCAGAGTTTGAACTGGTATTATTGGCAAATTTATTAAAAGCGTTGTGATTCGGCTTGAATTTTTCTGCACTCTTAGCTTGTTTTTGCTGTGGACTAGCATGCTGTTGCTGCTGCTGCTCTGATTGCTGTTGTTGCTGCTGTTGTTGTTTTTTATTAAAATAATTGCTGCGTTGTGGCTGCGGTGGTGGTACATTACTAAGCACCACATCGATGGCGTCCCGTTCACTGTAGACCGTCGGCATGGGCTCGTTATCCCAGTCGCGTGTCCAGAGTTCATTACGGTTTGCAGCTGCTATGATTTTCCCTTTTAAGCATATATCAATTTGATCCTTATCCAAATCTGTGTTACACTTGGAGTAGCAACGAGCCACATATTGATTTAAAGAGTCGGGCCACGATTCGTTTGATGCCATTTGGAAGCTATTAGGACGTTTGAAAGGACTAGTTGATTGCTGTTGTTGTTGCTGCTGAATTATAGGTTCTGGCAATGGGGGCGGCGGCTTGCTCAAGTCGGGAGTTATTGGAGCGCTTTCTTTGGGAATAGGTGGTGGTGGCGACTGCATCAATGGCATTTGCACAGCGAACGGATTTCCGTGACCGTTATATATAGGCTTGTTTTCGAATGAATTGTTATGTTGCTGTTGTTGTTGTTGTTGCTGCTGCTTGTTGTTTTTGTTACGCTTCCGCTTCTTTTTGCTCATGTTGTTCAAGTTGTTCATGTTGTTATTGTTGTGATTCATGTTGTTAACTGAGCTATTGCTGTTCATATTGTTAAGCATGTTGTGTAGATTGTTATGTATGCTATTAAGCATGTTGGTGTTTACAGTGCTGTTGTTGTTGCTGTTGATATTGCTGTTGATGTTGCTGTTGGTATTACCAAAAGGATTTGACAGCTGTTGTGGTGCCTGTGGCGTTGTGAGCGGATTTGGAGCGTTGGCTAAGCGCTTCTGATTTAAATTTAAATTAAATCGGATGCCACCAAAGTTTTTCTGCTGCTGATTTTGCTGTGACTGCTGTTGTTGCTGCTGGTTTTTATTACCGCTGCCATTACCATTGCTACCTGGCTGATTAGGCGGTGGTGGTGGCGGCGGACCAGTAGGTAACGGCGGCGGAGCTGCTACCGCATTGCTAAAACCAGGCGGCGCATTCGTCGAACTGATCGTTGACGTTACCTGCTGATTTTGCGGTTGCTGGCAGCGCATATAATATTGATAGCAATATTGCTGGTATGCGGCATTTTGGTTGGCATACCAATAATTATTCCATTGCTGTGCTGCTGCGCCAGCTTGCTGTTGTTGTTGCTGCTGCTGCATTTCCTGCAGCTGGGGTATTAATGGCGGCGGAGCGCTCATCGCATCGGACATTGTATAACGCAAATTTTGGGAGTGGGTGACCTACGAACCCTCACGAACGCGTAGTATATAGTTTTGTATGTAGTGGTTTTTAGTCGCTGACGTAGTGGCTTTTTTACAGATGATGTTCCCCCGCGGCAAGTATAGACGTAGCCTCGTTGTACTTAACACCTGAACTTACCTTATGTTGTTTGAATTATGTTCACGAACTACGTAAATCTGTTTTTGCGTTGCAAACATAAAAGAAAGGAGAATAAGTTTCACTGCAAAGGCATGCGTACGCCATTTTGTTTTCTTCCTCTTACCCAAGAATGTGGCCTAGAAAGTGCGATTTCACAATGCCTATTTTGGAAGATTATAAGTCGCGTTCTTGTTAAAATTTCACATGTAAAACGTAACGCGTACACCTTTTTTGAAAAAACACATATATTTGAACTGATGTCCTTATTTTCTCATGCACAAAAATAATTTTCAAAATCACTTGTACAAAGTACGACCTTTTTCATAAAGTGACGTAAAATTTTATGAGTGTGTGTGATAGATATGGGCAATATTTCGGAATCGAATCTCAGTCACAGGTCGCGGCTGTGACAAGGTATCGAAAGTAATGAAAACAATAACTGTGAAAATATTTGTCACAATACTGCCCAATTTTTTCAAATATATGTAGAATTTTTTGAAAATTGTATTTATTATTAACAGTAATTTATAAATCTTTGCGTTCATTTAATTCGACAAAAATTTGTTTGTTAATATATCCCAAGCGTACTGATTATATCATTTTGAACCCAAATTGTTTATACAAAACTGAATCACTGTAGAACTGCCAATCACTCAATTATCACACCAACGTTCATCTTAGAGAGTTACTGAATCACAAATGTTACATTTCTGCATATCTGCTGTTTACAACACTGTTAATTGACATTCGAAAAAAACGCGCACTTCGCCAGGACGCAACATTGAAAAAAAGCGAATAGTCCAGTATTTATAACAGTTGTTAGCCAAATCATATTATTAATATTAAACATGGCCCACGCGCGCACCAAGCATGCAACGCGCACCCATCTTCCACATCTCATGGCCCATGTACCAGGAGAGCAACAGGAGCCTGTCAAACAAATGTGCCTGAAAATGATGTCGCACGACGCCTACGGAAAACCGTAAGTAATGGGAATTTAGTTGTTTATGCAATGCTTATATTTGTGCCCACAGCTATGAGTGGAGCACACGCGACTTTGAAATGGGCGCACCCTTGGGACGTGGAAAATTTGGACGCGTTTATTTGGCGCGCGAACGCTATTCCCACTACATTGTAGCCATGAAAGTAATGTTCAAGGAGGAGCTACGGAAGGGCAATGTGCAGCGTCAGGTGTTGCGTGAAATCGAGATACAGTCACGTCTGAAGCATCCACATATTCTGCGCTTGCTGACCTGGTTCCACGATGAATCGCGCATATATCTGGCCCTGGAAATAGCCACCGAAGGCGAGCTGTTCAAGCACTTGCGGAATGCGCCAAACCACCGCTTTGATGAGCCGCGCGCTGCTAAATATACATACCAGGTGGCCAATGCGCTTAATTATTGCCATCTTAACAATGTCATACATCGAGATCTGAAGCCTGAGAACATTCTGTTGACGGGAACGGACGATGTGAAACTGGCGGACTTTGGTTGGTCCGCACACACACCGACGAACAAACGCAAGACACTGTGCGGCACGCTCGACTACTTGCCTCCAGAGATGGTCGATGGACGCACCTATGACGACAGTGTGGACCAATGGTGTTTGGGCATTCTCTGCTATGAGTTTCTAGTTGGTAATGCCCCATTCGAGGCAAATACTACAGAGAACACGTACGACAAGATCAGGCGGCTAGAGGTCAAATATCCGCCTCACATGTCCAAGGGCAGCAAGGAGCTCATTTCTGGTGTAAGTTAAACACCTTAGAAGCAATATCTAACAATATCTGATGTCTGCATTCTTTAATACTTGTAGCTGTTACGCCGCCAAGGACAAGGTCGTATCACACTGATCAATGTTATGACCCATCCTTGGGTTAAGGAAAATATGGCTAAACGTGCAGCTGAACTGCTGCAGAAGAGCAGCGATCGCGGCAAGGAGAATGTGCAAAAGAATGATTGTGGCATATAGTACGTGTATACTGATTTATTTTCATTTAACAATTTCGTTCATTGTCATATTAAATAAAAGTTTTTAAATTATTTTAGTTAACAGTTTAAGCTCCAAGAGACTCCAATTTTGTGCTCGCCATCCAAGGGATGCTTGCCCTCAAACCCCAGATGATATGTAACCTTGATACTATCACTGACCTTTGATTGATATATCAGACCCATGAGGCCATCATCGCGCACCTTGGCCTTTAGCAAGGTGTCCTCATTAAGCTGATACTGTCCGCCAAAGGCAAATTTCGTGCTGTCATTTTTATAGCAATTTGCTTTCAAGGCGAAGGCCCATCGCTCACCCATACGCTGAAATATAGAACCGCGCCAGTCCTCAAAGTTCTCACTATACAAAGGAAGGCAATAAGTGAGTGAAACATTTGTGTTCCATCCCAACTACTTACAACTTTAGGCCCAGCTCGGTGCTGCCATTATTGTAGCCGACGCAAAGGGCGTGCTTATCGAAGCCCTTGTTTTCCATATCGTATACTGTGCGATAGCCTAACGTCCATTTCTGGGCGGGCACTGCCAAAAAGTACCCCATTAGCTTCGGTTCCTGGATCACCGGCACTATTACCTCAAACTTGTAGGGTCGCTGATCATAGCCCAGCTTAAGTGTGGCCGCCAGACCAGTTCTATAAGTAGTAAAAGAATAAAATTGGCTCTCTATAATGCTAGGGAGTAACATGTAGAGATGTGTTATGGACTATCATAGGAGCTAAGAAATTGATCATTAGTCCTGATCAAACTTCTATAGCTTTATGCTGCAATTCTGTTGTCATCTCAACCGCATCTCCAATTCTATTCCCTTTCCTTTCATACTCACTCGCCCTCCAGATTATATTTGGCCAATATGGAAGCTAGTAAGCGACTGGGCCCCATCGGTTTACGCCACGTGATCTCTGTGCTTACTCTCTGATCCGTATTCCATCCCTGCGCCAATTCTAGTCCCTCAAATATCTTACGCAACTCGAGACCGCCCGAAATGCTTTTCTTATCCGGTTTTGCATCGCCGTATGTTTTCAGAATCAGTCCTTTGCTCTCGCTGCTCGTATCCGCATGCCAAACACCAATCTTATAGCCGGTTATTAAACAGTCCTTTGCACAGCTGCCGATGTGAAAGAATGTGGGCATTTCATCCTCGACAGGTGGTGGCAGCAGAATCTCCTCTTCCTCTTCGACGGATTGAGTTTCTCCGCCCTCCTCAGCCATGGTTTATCTATAGAATTTCACTTACAACAATTTTTTGTGTGTATGTTAAAGCAGAAAAGAAAATATACGAAAATTTTTTGGATAATCCAAATTTTGAAAATGAATTCAAAGTGTTTTGCAATATCAAAACTGAAATGTTTCCATATCCCAACAGCTTTATGTTCCAACTTTGAAGCGCCTGAGCATATTAAAACAAAATTTAAATGTAACTTGAACAGGTTGAGATCTATACTCATTTATATATAGTTTTACATTTATACACATATTGGCTTATCCATAGTTAGGCGAAAAAACTATAGACAATAACAAAATAAACTATTGCAACAAATTTTGATAAAAAGCAAAAATCAAATCAACGTCGTTTCTTCTCAGCTGGCTAGCACTCCAAAGCGAAACCAAGGCCAAATTTATGATTGCCTTCGGTCAGATTCTTGCCCTCCAGCACAGTCGAGATGGAGAAAGTAATACCCTCACGCAGCTTTTGTTCATAGCCCAGACCCACCTCGACTTTACTATTCAGCTTGGCACGTATCAAGGCGTCGCCCTCCATATGATAGACCATACCCAGACTTACGACCAGTTCGCCTTCGCCGCCACCCTCTTCGCCCTCCGGTGGTGGTTCTTCACCGCCACTATCGCCAGCAGTTTTGGCAATCTCCGCAGCGCTATCAATTTGTTCATTTACCTTATAGAAGAGCGAGGCCAACCAGGAATTACCATCCTTCCTGCGAAGCAACACGTTCTACTAGAATCACGCTGACTACTATTATGCTGCCTACGAAAAACTTACAGTTCACCATGCAGTGTGGCTTGCTCGTTGAACCAACCCAGAGCCAACTTCCAGGTAGAAACCTCACTGGCACTGGTGTCAATGCCCAGTCCAATACCGCCTAGGAATTCGTGATGTCCCAACACCAGAGAGGCATTTATTAGCGGTCCATTGGGATCAATGTTCATATCGGCCAAGAAATTGAAGTTCTCCTGGGCATATCCTACCTTGATTTTGGCATCCTTTTCGCTGCGTTTGAGAAGTATTTAATGAACTTAAATTTATTTTAGATTGGCTTAGATAGAATTTTCACACCCTACTTAAAAAACTGCATGAATTTGTGTGAAAATTTGTTCAATCTGACCCTCATTTCTTTTGCATTGGTACTCACCCTGACGATGGCTGAAACTTTGCCTCCAGCGCCAGCATCAGACCCTCTGCCAATTTATCACGTTGCATAATCTCACCAAAGAGTAGATTATCCGTATTCCATCGTTCCGTCAATGTTAGTCCATAATCCTCGATCTTGTACTTGCTCTGCAAAGAGCCGCTCACCTTGCTAGCATCCTGGCTAGCAAACCCGGTGGTAAAGAACTCAATGCCCGAGTTAGTCATCGTTTTGCAGTCCAACTGCCACAAGCCAGGATGGTAACCGCGCTTAAAGATATCGCGCGCAAGCTTTCCAAGATCAGGATATACTGGCGGTGCCATGATTGGCCAAATGAATAGTCTATATGGTACGTGAATTATTTGCTTTCGAAATTTTAAGCTGTTTTTTGTTAAACCGAAATTTATGAAAATCTAACGGAGCTCTGACATATGTACTATTTGTTGTATTATTATTGTGTGTTTAGACAATAATGTTCTCTAACTATGGAACTGAATTGAAAGGCATGGAATGCTTAGTTTCAGCTAAACATTGAAACTCAATACTTGGTAACTCTGTTTCAGATCTGAATTAACAAGTTATGCGTTAGATCCAAATAATTTTACCCAATATAGGCAAAAATTTGGGTCTAATTTCGGAATTACTTCCAGCCCATTAATTACTATTTAATATTCCGTTCTCATTATATAAAATTCAAATTGTGATTTGTTCAACAAGTCTATTTAGAAGAAGTGCGCACATTAAATGTTTGATTTTTATTATTATTTATTTTTAAATGCACAACAAAATGAAAAAAGTTAATTATTGCTTTCCACATGTCTACCATCCCCCTTCCTTCTTTGTATATTTTAATTAAATGCTGTTGCGCCCTCACCGTTGATTGGTTTCTGCTCTCCTCGTCTCTTTAGCGATTCCTCTCTCTCTCTCTCTCTGTCCCTGTGGGAGGCGCACATCAAGAACAACGCACAGCTTATTGAAATTGTTTCTTTTACTGTTTAGTTTAATTAGGTATGTATGTATTTCTCTGTTTGTCAACAACACAATTGCAATTTACTAAACAAAACTACAACCCGTGGCCAATAGCCAGCCGCCCTCCTTCACCCTGCCTTGCCCCCAACGGTCATTTCGCTTGGCAGTGGTGACTTCTTTAGGTGGCCCAGAGGCGAAAGGGGGAAGGAGGAACAGCTGACAGACTAAATTTTAGGTGCTAAACATGAAGATTCTCTTGTGTGTTTTTTGTTTTACAATTTTATTTTGTTTGTTGTTGTTACTGCACTTTATGTTGTTTGTTTGTTGTTGTGGTGGCTGGCGTTATATAATTATATATGCATTTTTTGCTGGCTTGCATGTATAGTTGCTGTGGCTACTGACTTGTCTTTCATTTAACTTAGGCTTCCAATTCCAAGCCAACACCAATCTTGTGACCGCCGGCATTAAAGTTCTTGCCATCGACCAATGTGGACAGCGTCAAGGTGATGCCATCGCGCAACTTCTGTTGATAACCCAAGCCAACCTGGCTGGCATTGTTGACCTTGGCGCGAACGCTGGCATCATTGTCCAGTTGATATTTGGCGCCAATGGCGAATTTGGTGTTGCTGGTACCAGAGGCCCACGACAGCTGCACACCCACATCCAATTGATCCGAAGTGCGTTGGAAGATTGAGCCGCTGAACTCCTGGCCATCGTTCCTACAGCAAACAAACAATGATTATTATGCTACCCATTTTAGACTGCGAGGATTTACTTACACGGCTGTGTGCAGGACAAAGTCCTTGGTCGCATAGCCCAGGGCAAAGTTGTTGGTGGTCAACTTGGATTGTTGTGTATCGAATGCGGTCTGGTAGCCGGCCAACCATCCCTGATAGCCCAAGACAGCTGATGCGTTGATCAAGGGTCCCTTCAGGTCAATGTTCACATCGGAATCAGCCTTGACATTCTCATGACCGTAGGCTACCTTGAACTTGCCGTTCTTGTTGCTGTAATTGGACAGAAATTAGCTTAACTGTTACTAGTTTGGGGAATTTGGTAACTTACCCAGACTGTGGAGCGAAGTTGCCCTCCAGCGACAGTTTAAGGCCCTCCAGCAGCTGATCCTGCACCGCGACCTCAGTGAAGAGCGTGTTGTCTGTGTTCCATTTCTCGGTCAAGGTCAGACCGTAATCCTTAACCTTGTATTTCGTCTCCAAGGAGCCGAATACCTTGCCCGATTCCTGGTTGGAGTGACCAGCTGTATTGAATTCAATGCCCGACGAGGTCTTGGTCTTCAGGTCCAACTTCCACAGACCAAAGTTGTAACCTTTGCTGAAGATGTCGCGAGCCTGTTTGCCCAAATCGCTGTATGATGGAGGTGCCATCTGTTCCAAATAAATGTAACAAGATATATTATGTAGTAATGAGTGGTGACTTTGTTAATTATACAAATATAAGGCAAATGATTTCGTTTGGCAAGGCAGGTATTGCGCGAATTTTTGCGATAAGCTCGCCACATCTTATCTTATCAGCTTAGCAGCCACAACACTACATACACTGTCAGTATAACACTATTATTTTGTTATTGATTTTTAAATGAACTATTTCGGATGATAATCCTTTTCTTTGCTGACAAAACTGAAATGCGACGAACAAGTGCAGCAGCCAGAAGCTAAATTCCACATTAAAAATAAACACGAAAAGTGAAAGAACTTTGCAAATATTTCCGCTCTTGCCATCCCGTTGGCCAAATGTCAATTCGAAGAGCCAATAATTGCAACATTTAAAGTGAAATTACTTTTCAAGGCGCTGAATACATCGCCACTTCAGCCAAAAGAAGAAATTGCAAAAGCTGTATGTGTTTGTGTGTGTGTTTCTGGGAGTGTGTGGGGGTCAATGCACGTCTGCATTTGGCACGAGTACAAGAGATAGAGAGAAAGAGCAGAGCAAAAGTTCAGGCCGGTTTGCTAGAGATCAAGAGAGAGCGAATCTTTTGTACGCACTGTGACGCAAACGTGACAAATAATGAACACAAAGAGCAACACATAATTTCGTCATGCCGAATAGTCTATTACGTGCCATTCTAAAAATACTTGAATGATTACTGAAAATCCAGCGGAAAAAATACCAGAAACGATCTTTATATTATATCGTTAGTTTAATAGTTATACATGAAAGTATAACATACTCACAACCTTAAAATGCAGAGAAGCGCACCTTTTTCTTCTTTAACTTATCTTTCAACATGCGATACATTGCAGATTTGTCCGTGTTATCACGCAAGTTCATTGTTTAATTATATTTAAAAATGACAATATAAGTATAAGATTTTTTTAAAGGGACAGACGAAACAAATGTAACTACAAAAAAAAAGTACTTTAACGCAACAATGCCTGAACCACTGTGCAATAGAAAAAAGGAAGCCACGCAAAGCATACATGAATAAACCGTTAGGCGGCACGGTGATTGTATTTGTATGTTCTCCAATCAGTCTCTGTTTATGTTTTGTTGTTGGCCGCGTTAATTACTCTGACCAGGCAAAGCGATCATTGACCACTTGACGTACATATGTACATGCACACATAGCCACACATAACATACATATACACAATTGGCTTTTGCTGTGCTTGCCATCGTCACTCTATTCGCGTGACGTCAAACAAACAAGCAATACAGTGATGGCGGAAATATTATGGGCAGCCTTCTTTTCATGTTCTTGCCAAGATGCGAGGAATGAAATTATGAAAGGTAACAAAATTATAATTGCCTAGGTGGCTGGCGGCCAAAAGCTAAGAAGGAAATGGTCAGCAACTAAAGAAAGCTGTTGAAGTGTGAAATTTTGCACAAAGCAAAATGGGCAGCAGCACCAATAATAATAAATAAATCGCACACACGCCTCTACATGTGAATGTGTTGGAAGAATGGCACGCGGACCAGACAGGACCGGCTGGGCGAAAAACTATAAAAATACAGCAAGCCAACGAGTTAAAATGAAATGTGATGTAATCGTGGCAGATAAAATATGAGGAAAATGCTCCTCATAGGTTAATTTTTCCGCGTGAGTGCAGCAGCCGTAACGACGACCTTGACACTGTTGTTTGCATTTCTCAATGCTCAGAAATATTGAGTGAAAGTGCGTGAGACGGCGAGGAAGTGCAATATTCTGTAGGGGTTTGCAAAAAGTGGGTGTGTGACGAAGGGCTCTTACGCAATCAGGCAAGAAACCGATGAAAATAAGTAGAAACTACAAAACTTGTTACACCACACCATCTATTGATTTTTCGTAGCAGTATTAAAGCCCCTCCACCCAACCTCCTCATTATAGTTGCATCAACTCAATTCGAAGTTGAGCACAAATACGAATAAAATAACTCAATGCTCACATGACCTACACAAGCAAGCAGCACACATATACGAAGAATGAAAGCAAGGGAAATACAAGAGCAATGTTAAAAGAATTGATAAAAAACTTCGCAAGCGAATTGCATGTGATAAAGCAAGAAGTGAAAACATACAATCATTAATCAAAACAATTTAAAACAAGCGCAATGAGACAGCACACGATTTGTTACGTAACAAGAGTAAAGAACAAATTGTACGCTAGCAGTCATTGTGCCGGCAGAATAAAATGTATGCGTGCGTGAGTTCGCAGTTGCCGGTCGCAAATCAGTGTTTTCTCAGCTGATAAATTTTTTTGCCTGATAATAATACATGTACCCATTCTCTTTTTATCGGAAAATGATTATTTAAAACAATCCGCTTAGCAGCTTAAGTGCTGCGATAATAAACATATTAGCAAGCCTTTTGCTGCGCATACGCGCGTTTGTGTGTGTGTGTTCGCCTCTTTCTCATCCACATTTCGCTCTACTTGCAATTTTTTCATTTGGAGGTTATGAAATCACTTGCACAAAAAGCCTTTCCCATCATAGTTTTGAGATCATTTTCAATTGTTTTTTACAGCACACTTGTAGCACAGCACATTGATGCACATTTTGGTATTATTTTTAATGCGTCTACTTACTTTTTATGAGTTTAATTAGGTTTTAAATTATGCGCAACGCAGGAACAAGACGACCACAAACGTACACCACAAAAATTAATTTGCGACTGAGAGACATGCTGGCGACAAGGTGTTGCCACCTGAGCACGAAACCTGCTATGGATAATGTCGCGTTCACATTGGCATACAGTGACGGCGGCAGCAAATTAATAAATTTTAACTTCTGTAAGAAAATGGTTAATTTGTTACAATTATTTGTTTTTTGTTTTGTTAAGCTTTGCTGTGGCTGTCAATTGAGTGCATGGGCAGTAAATCACTGCTTAGCGGTGACTTTGTTAAATAAGTTATCGTTATCGCAATTATAGTTGTGGCGTTCTTAATCGATGAGGTTGGCAGTACCCCGCGAGGAAATTGAAAAGAAATTTGTTTGTTTTTTATTTAACGGCTTTACAAATTATAAAAGAGGAAATAAAATGTGTACTTATTTTTGAAGATAGGCAGCAATTTAATAATTGTGTGAGCAATTCGGGCGAATAACTGCACGTGCGCCATAAGTCAATGGTCGAAAAAACGTGCCAACAACAAACTATTTCAATTGCTATTTTTAGATCAATCAATTCAGATCAGATAAATCGCTTTATCTCGTCACTAATTAGTTGCAAGCGGGGCGCCACAACAAACGCAACACAGCCAAAATTATCGAACTAAGTGCATTGAAGAGCAGCCAAGTGGCCGGAGGCGGCATGTTGAAGGCCCGCCTGGAAAACGATGCACTCTATGGTCGCTGTCTGCTGACCTCCGAGGCAGTGCAGCGCGGTGACCTTGTGGTGGAAGAGCTGCCCTTTGCCTACGGCCCCAAGCGAGACAGCGGCATCGTCTGCTTGGGCTGCTATCGCTTTCTGCAGTTCGGCGAGGATGGCGACTCGCTGGATCGCTGCGAGCTCTGCGACTGGCCATTATGCAGCCTCTGTGCCAGCGATGGCTACGGTGCCGATCACAAGGGGGAGTGCGAGGTGTTTGCTGCGGCACGCGTCACGTTTGCCGGCAATGTTAGCGAGGATGGCGTCTGTACACAACTGGATTGCATAACACCTTTGAGGTTAGTGGGTGCAGCGAAGGGCGAGTGGCGCGGGCGGGAGTTCGGTTTCTTGGCCAGGCTGGGCCAAAAATCAAAATCTTGGCAGCCACAAACATTCGCGTGCGTTCTGTATTAAAAATTCAGCATTCCAAGAGGGGTAGATCAAAACGCTAGCCAAAGAAATGCCCGCAAATCAAGCAAAGTAATATTGAAAGGAAAACTTGGCAGTGTTGAGGTAAAATGTGATTCCAATTCACAATTCCAACTCTAAGGGAAATGAATAATTAAAAAGCAAGACATTTATTTAACTGGTATACACTAAGGAAAGAAAGACAGCACATTTTTCAATTCGGGAATTCCTTAAAAATAAATTGCAGCACTAACTTAATGTATAAATAACCTTTCTTACATTTAGAAAACCCCCAAAAAGCTTACATGTTTCCTCAAATCTAGGGTAATTGATCCTAGTTTGTAGAAATCAATTTTTCCGTTGAATTAAAACATTGTTCTTTTTTTACTTTTTCATTTTGCCCGAAAACCCAAAATTTTTTTTTCATTCTTAATGTATGCGAGGATAATAATCTAGTTTATTGAGAATGTGGAATACAATTTGAGTTAAAAAATTAGACAAGTGTTCCTCATCATAGAGCGGGGAAAACTGTTATCACTTACACTAATTTGCCGGAATTAACGACCTGATCCTACTAGGATGTCATGTGTTTATTGTGCTGCGTTTGAGTTTTATTCTTTCAGCTCTTCTGCTAATTCTCGTACTTCCCATTCATCGTAGCAATTAATTTATACAAGTATGCCACATCCCGTGATTAACTCACCCTGAGTGATTTATTGGACATCTCTCGTGTGGCATAATGCAAACAAAGCGGGCCAACGGTAGCCGGTCCGCAATATGATGATTTTTGAATTTTGGCAACAGATGTGTGCCAGGCAAGTGGCCGAAATGCTGTTAACGTGGTGGATATTTGTCAGTCGGCGAGATGACAGCATCGAAGACGCTTCAAGTGAATCGGACGGGTGTGCTATGGAGCGCCGTCTACGGACGCTATTTGGTGGCCGGTGAAGCGGTAACGGCACATGCCATTCTCATTGAGGAGCTACCGTTTGCGGTGGGACCCAAATGCAATGGACCCGTGTTGTGCCTAGCCTGTTATAGGACTGATGGGGTCGATCATTGTGCCCTCTGTGGTTGGCCTCTATGCGGGGAGTGTGCCACAGAGGAGAGCAATGAACACTTTCGGGGGGAGTGCGAGATCTTTAAATCCGCCAGGGCACGCTTTTATCCGCTGCCCGCAGGTGCTGCCCACTGCCCGCAGCTGGACTGCATTATGCCATTGAGGTAAACGTGCCAAACGTCCCACCCACCCAGATGTGGATATGGGGGCTGCCGTTTAAAAATAGCTGCAATAGGCCCAACGTCACAGCTTTTGGTTGCATTGTCTCTCATTGTCTCTCGCACTCTTGCAGGGTTTTGCTGGCCAAAGAAGCCCAACCGGATCGCTGGCTCAACGAGGTGGCACCCATGGAACACCATGAGGGCGCTCGTCGTATGAATGCCGATGTTTGGCATGCCGATCGCGTGAATATCGCACAATACTTACGTGGACCTTGCAAACTGGGCTCACGTTTCAGTGAGGAACTCATCATGCAGGTGGTGGGAGTGCTGGAGGTAAATGCCTTCGAAGCGCGTACAACCCATGGATATGCGCTGCGCTGCTTATATCCCTATACAGGCATCCTAGCCCACAATTGTGTGCCCAACACGGCGCGCAGCATCTTTCCCAGTGAGGGTTACAAGTAAGAGACTTTCTTCTACCTTGTCGTAGCTCTGTAAATATATTTTCCATCTTTCTATAGAATACGCCTACGCGCTATGGTGGATCTGAAGGAGGGTCAGCAGCTGCAGCATAGCTATACCTACACCCTGGATGGCACCTCACAGCGCCAGACCCATCTACGAGAGGGCAAATACTTCAATTGCAGCTGTGAACGTTGTTGCGATGCCACCGAACTACAAACCAACTTCAGCACCTTGAAGTGTGGACAATGCGTCGATGGCTGGCTTCTGGCCAAGCAGCCTTTATGTAAGTTATTGCTTAACGACTAGGGACGGGTTTTACCAATCCTTATAATCAAAATATAAAACAACAATTGATTGAGAAATATTAAGAAGTGACGGCATCAATTCCGAATAAACGAGGATATTACAGCCCCGATTTCGAACTCAAGTACCTTTCCCCAAACTCAGAGTCGATCTCTGATAGTCCCCATTCCTAACTTAAAAAAGTTTCGTTTTGTAATCTAAGAGAGTTTTTCCTTTATTGCCAAATTTCTGCAGTCTTTGAAAGTTTTGCGAACCCAGAACTTATCCTCAGCCTGTCTTAAACTCTACTATTTTCTCGTGGAAGATTAAGCTATTCCTACCCTATGCCACATAGAGAGTAAGTTGGTGGACCACCTAACAATATAAACATATAGCAGTTGGGAAGAATAAATCCATCGTTTGGTTATCCATTTTTCGGTTACAGAAACAAATCTAGAAGCTTTCAATATTTGTTAAACACATAAAAACATATATTTTCGCGATTGTACAGACAAAGCTCGCTCAATATTATTATTCGTATTATAAAAACTAAAATTTGACCAGCAAGTTATTTTAAAAAGAAAAGGAAATTATCCATAGTTGTACTGTATTTAGTAAGAAACTTAAGAAAATTATGACTAATTTAGTTTTATTTCACAGGAAGCTGCCAAAACTGTGGGTATTTATTAGCAAGTTGTTTAAAAAAAATATCTGAAAATGTATTTTATTTAAATGTTTTTGATAAGAAATTGATCAAAATTAGGTCTAATTGTCTTTAGATTTATTTTACGGGAAGTTGCTTAAATAGTAGGTAGATTTTGGCCTTTCTTCTGAGTGAAACTTGGAGTAGACTACGAGAATTTCTTTTGTCTGATTATACTAATTATTATCCCATCTTTGATCGCAGCTGATGAAACGAGCTGGCATTGTCGTTGCTGCGACTTCAGCACCAGCAATGAGGACGTACAGAAGACGATAGCGGCGCTCCAGGCTGAGGTGAATGTAGCGCAGGCGCTGGAAATGGGACCCAAGCGACTGGAGGAGTGCGAACGTTTGCTGCGAAAGTACAAAAGTCTGCTCCATCCGTTGCACTTCATAGCGACGGGTCTGCGGCAGCTGCTCATCGAGATGTACGGACGGGTGCAGGGTTACGAAATGGCCACACTGACGGACACGTTGCTTGAGCGGAAGGCGGAGCTGTGTCGTCAGGTGCTGCGCATCCTGAATGTCTTCGAGCCGGGCCTGAGTCGTACACGTGCCATGAATCTCTACGAGCTGCATGTACCGCTGGTGCTGCTGGCGAAGAGCGGCTTCATAGCCAATACGTTGGGTGGTGCTGAGTTGCGTTCGCGTTTGGTGGAGGCCATTGACTTGCTTCGGGAGTGTGTGGACATATTGCAGCATGAGGATAAGGGGTCGCAGGAGGGCGTTCTTTGTCTGGTGGCCAAACAGGCCATGGAGCAGCTAACCATGAGCGTGGATGGCTTGGGAAATGAATTAGAATGATTAAACATTGCAGAGTAGACTTCTTTTCGACCTACATAGTGTTAGCTTTATTGAAAAACTATACATATGCGTTTGTATATACTTATGTATGTATGCATGTATGTTTGTAAGTACAAGTAGGTAGCTGTTCCACACTTTAGTTTGGGAAACGCGACGTTACGATTATACAAACACATATAAATTTGATTTATTATGAACGCGATTGTGTAATTCTCTTCCAGAGCGAATAATTAATTATTTCCTACAAAATTGCCGGTGCACTTCAATTTTAAGACCAACAACATTTTTTGTTCGATATAATAAATCACCTAGTACTCAGTTGAAAAAATAAATGTATTTCTAAATTATTAGTATTTCCGAATTCAATTGAATTATGCGGTATGTTAAATTACGAACAATTACTGAATTATTTGCTTTCTCAAATTTCTTAGGAATGCATATTTAATCGTTTTCAAGATTCCGCACAATTCCATCGAATTCGAAAAAAATACTTCAATAATATTAAAGAATATTGATCTTTTTAAAGGCGGTTTTCAGTTGTGGTTTGTTCAGTTTACATTTAGTTGCCAGCATTTTTGGTTTTGGCGCTGAACAATTTTATTGCTCAAAAAGTAAAATTACAGGAAAAACTAAAAAGTAGTTTTGCATGTTAAATTAATTAGATACACGGCTTACAGCTAATACAAGCACAACTAGTATCAATGGGTATTGTTTCATTGTTTTTTGCTTTTCTTTGCCTTAAATATTGCGTTTTGGTTTATGTTTATGAGTTTTGTTTGTTTGTTTGTTTCGCTTCGCTCTCTCTTCCTTAAATGCAAGAAGTACGCTGATATTTACTAATCGATATTTTTAACCATTACCGTTCATTAATGTTGTCTACGTATTTTAAATCAAATTTAATAGTTATAGTAATGTACAATCATTAAAAAATATCATTTCATTTTTGATTTGAGTCTGCAATTTGTTTCTGATTGGTTTTTTCAATACTTTCCACTCACATGCTTCACTGTTATATTCATAGTAGCAAAATGATTATAAATTAAAGCGTAATTTAACATTGGAATCGGTATATAATACATACACACACGCACGTACAAAAGGTTTAACTTTCGTTTTAACTTGACATAGAAGGCTAATACGTATATACTATACATATAAAACTAAAAACGTTCTTGGGCTGGTCATACGGAGAACAAAACGTAGATAATAACAGTTTATATCAGCTCTCTATGCTCCATTTACCATGTCAAGTATCACACCAGACGAGCACCAGCAGCCTCCTCCTCCACCCTACACATCGTGACTAAGCAGCGGTGTATCATGATAGCGTGACGCATGATTCAAACTAGTGCAGGGTAGCAACCACAACGCTGGATGTCCCCGACCAAACACATCGGCCAACAGCTGATATTTGCGACGATTCGGGCGATACGCTCCCTTCTGTTGTATTGCCTCGATGGCGGTCTCGTCGTAGAGGATGGCGTGCAGTTGATCGACCATAATGGCGGTGACGAAGAGTCCAAACAGCGCCGACTCTAACAGCAAGATAACAGAGTGAATCCTGCAAAGAAACATAATAAATTTTTAAAGAATCTGGGAGATATTCATATACGTTGTTTTTACTCACATGCGGAGCTGCGATTCAATCACATTTTGATTGCATTCCGCGCAGGGTGAGACCCAAGTGGACACAATTAGTGCTAACGAATATACCGATAAGATGGCCACATAGATGAGAAATTGCAGGAAATACTTTTGATTACGCTCGCCCACACAATTGTTTATCCACGGGCAATGGTGGTCCATGCGGCGTATGCAACGCTTGCAAATACGACAATGGTGGGCACGTGGTGGTCTGTAAGTTTCACAGCGTGTACAGACCGTCCATTCATTGCTGTTGTGACCGTTGCCCGGATTGATGCCGGGATTGTTTTTGTTGGTAGTGTGCAGATCGGAGAAGTCTAAGCGATTGGCGGGCAGCGGCACAGTGCCTGGATCGGAGAAGACAGCCTTCAGATGGGACATGCCCAACAGGAAGACGACCGTATTGAAGAGCACAACATGAAACGGCGCCCAAATGCTGCATAAGATCGGAATAAATAAACGCGTTGTACATTGTCTATAGGATAGATGTAGTCACCTCACGGCCATAGTGGACAGTATGATCCAGCGCATAACCACATAGTCCGCATAGAAAACGGCTCCATAGGTCACAACCAAACAGGCTACGCCGCAAGGATCTCGTATGAAAACCATCGTCCCACTCTCCAGTTAAACGGACGGCGCGTTTTAATTCACGTATTGACGAAAACTGTTGTTGGTAATTCAATTAGAATTCAGTGGTGTCCGACCTAGAGCGCCGTCGCCGTGACGAGCGACGACGACAAAATACAATTGTTGATACTACTCGGAGCGGCGACAGTTTCGGCTGCCGTTGCTACTCGCAGCTACGAAACGTGCTGCGCTCACGTCATTCTCTATTTGCACAACTCATTAATCTCATTTAATCGGCTTTTTAGTGATTATTATACAAATCTAATGTTTTATTTCAGGAAAGTGTAAAGAGTGCTGTGTTTTTTTTTTTTGCAATATGTATTTTTCTTGTGCTAGAGATGAGCAGCAGAATAAATTAGAGTGTGCCACAAAATACTGTAAAATACCAAGGATGTAGATTTTCAGCACTGGCAACAGCTGATAGTAGTTAGACAACACTTCTAAATGTTTAGTCATTTTTTACACAAAAGCGAAGTCTTGCAAATCAGTTGCAATTCATCGTAAATACTATATGCAAATACAAAATTAAAAGTTAATCAAAATATAGAACAAGTGCGGCGATAGTTGCACAATACTCCAGTACCATAATTAAATTGCGTTTCGTGACGCACGAAATCGATTGCGTAGCAAGACAAACAACACAAACACGATACAAAAAAAAGTGGTGCAACGGGAACAGCGACACAAATAAAATTTACGTACGCTGCGTAATTGCTGAGATCTAGAACAATTACACAAATAATTAACAGACAGTTGAGTGCGCGATTTGTCAAGGAAATGGGCATATTCGGACAATCGTCGCCTTTCGACACCGATGTGGGTAAGTGGTTTCAACAATAACAAATCCAATTCGAATGCAAATACATATACATATGTATATATTTTTTGTGCATATGTACGTACGTACGCAGGTGTGTGTATGTGCGTCAAAATCTTAGATTGTAATGACATGTTGCCACTGCCAGTTGCTGTTCTATCTAATCGTACGGCTATTGCTATGCATCACCACCATATCCACTGAACTAAGCACGAAAAAAGCAACTGACCGAGAGGGTAGGGGGCTGCTCCAAACTTTTAAAGTTCTGGCAGACAACAAAGAAAGCACATCATCAAAAAGTCATGTGCCTTGATAGCGTCTCTCGGATGCTGAGCTCCGTGCGCAACCCCGGTCCCTGTTCAATGAACTTCTTTTGAAGTTTTTGTTACAGTCGCTGGCAGCGGCAATTAACCTTGAACGCTGTAGTCGTCGACGCTGGCATCGCGTGTGGGGGACTGCTTTTCCACCTTCACCACCTTCCAGCACACATGACATGCATTTAAGCGCTATTTTTAATGAGATTTGTAGCTTGTTTGGTTATTTCTATACATTATATTGATTTTCGTTAATAATTTGACTTAGTTTGCCTTCTGCCTAATAGATGAGTTACCGTTAGCATAAACAGCTGTTCAGTTGTTTTTTTTTTGTATACCCTGCACCCAAAATGTTGATTAGGCATACTAGCAGTCTGAACAGCTAGGAGCGCAAAACTTGGTCTGCACTCTTGTCTCATTAAATATAAAATATTAAATACCACATATAGACTCATTATTATATAGCTGTCAACAAATCAATAAACAAAATCATAATAAACAAAATCACTAAGTGTAACCATTTTTTTATACATTACATACATTACGAAATTGATAGCTAATTTGGAGCTTTATGATACCTCGCCATAATCTGATATTTTGGAAATCTATTCATTATATAGCTGTCATATAAATGATTGGTGCAACCATGTTTATTTCTGTTGAATAAATGTGGCATTGAAAGGAGTGCGGGTACAGGGCATACAAGTGTAGGGTTGGCGCGACTCGGTTTCTGCACTGCTGTCATTGCCCTTTTGTTGTTATTGCAGCTTATCAAACTTCATAGCCGCCTGCAAATGATTCATTTAACTTTCTTCGCCGGCACCACACCATTCTAGTAGAAGAGATTTATGGGATTTGATAAGCAAATCGAGTAGCAATGACTGCCGTTAGTGAATGCTACTTATTTTTACTAAAGAGTGCATTGAAGCACAAATAAAATATGTACAACGGTCGCTCTTTGTTTGCGAATCTATGTATGTGTATTATGGCTATATTTAATTATTTTATCTATGCAAGAGGCTTTGTTCGTATCAGCATCAGCTCTCGGCCCAATGTCAAATGCAGGGCGTAATAAAAGTTAGTAAATATAATATAAATGTAAAAATAATTTTCTGTTCCTACCATGATTGCGTTTTAGAATAGAAATAAAGGGCTGATTTAGTTTCCGTGAAAGCATATTTATAACTTTTGTATTTTTCGCTACTTAAATGACAGTTGCATGCGAGTTCAGCCAAATAAACGACATCGAGTAGCAATACTTTCTTCACTAAATTTAAAATGACTTTGTGTTAAATCGTTATTTTTGTTAATTTTACAGAAAAGGCCACCAGTGAGACAAATACGAATGAGAACTGGTCTCTTATACTGGATGTATGCGACAAAGTGACGACAAATCCGCGCACTGCCAAGGATTGCCTCAAGGCGGTGATGAAACGCATGGGCCATGCGGACCCTCATGTGGTAATGCAGGCCATCACTCTGCTGGATGCTTGTGCCAATAATTGCGGCAAGCCGTTTCACTTGGAAGTGGCTTCACGTGAATTTGAAACTGAATTTAGACGTTTGCTGGGCAAGGCGCAGCCAAAGGTTTCTCTGGTAAGTTCCTATACATAAAATGAAGTGAATTTTGATTTCCACTTAACTTAAAATATTCCCCAGAAAATGCGCCAAGTTTTGAAGAATTGGGCAGAGAACGACTTCAAGAATGATCCGGAGTTGAACCTAATACCCACACTGTATACCAAGTTGCGTATCGACGGCTACGATTTCAGCAATTTGAATGACAAGTCCACTAAGTCGGCAGCAGCTAAGGCAGCAAGTTTGCCCAAGGATCCGAATGTGGTGAGCAGCCAGCAAGAGGAAGATGATATAGCCAAGGCGATTGAACTGTCACTAAAGGAAACCAAGCAGAGTCCCAAGCTGCAGAGTTCCAGCAGCGGTTCCAATGGTGGTACTGCTAGTAGCGCCACCAGCTCAGTTTCTACTGCCTATCCCTCGCTCTATCCATCGTTTGGTGGCGGTGGAAGCAGTGGTGGAGGCGGCGCTGCTGCACAGAGTAGTGTGTCCAGCAATGGTGGAAGTGCTGCAGGAGCTACAACTGCTCCCGAGCCACGCAAAGTGCGTGCGCTCTACGATTTCGAGGCGGCCGAGGAGAACGAGTTGACCTTCTTTTCTGGTGAAATTATACATGTGCTGGATGATAGCGATCCCAACTGGTGGAAGGGCTTCAATCAACGTGGTGAGGGTCTGTTCCCCTCCAACTTTGTCACTGCGGATCTGTCCGTGGATCCGGAACGCTTAGACATCAATCAGCAGCATAAATCAGCGGCCGCTCAAAAAGAGGACGAAGCGGCACGCGAGCTGCAACTAAAGACTGAAGCTGCTGCCGCTGCGGCGGCCAATCAACCGGTGGAGATAGATGAGACAAAAATTGATCGACTGCTGCATTTGCTGCACGAAGCCAATCCCGAGGATCCCTCAACGGATAGCGAAGAAATGCTGCGTCTCGAGCAGGAGGTCCATCAAATGGGTCCGCTCATCGATGCCGAATTGGAGCGTGTCGATCGCAAGCATGCTCAGTTGACCCAATTGTCCAGTGATCTGGTCGATGCCATCAATTTATATCACTCGCTAATGCGTGATGATCGAGCTATGGCGGCGCCTTTTCCTGCCACCTCTGCAAACGTGGCTACTGGTGGTTTTATGCCCGGCGGTTTTCCCGGAGCTGCTTTATATGGCGCGCCTGGCTATCCAAATGCTGGTGGTTTTGCACCGCAGAACTTTGGCATGCAGTCGTTGCCCTATGCGCCAGTAACAAGCGCCACAGCAAGCACCACAGCGCCGTCAACTGGCTACGCGCCACAGATACCCATGCCATACCAGAACGGCCATGCGCCGCAGTTGAATTGTGAGTAGCGTATGAGCATTAACATTATCTTTTAAAACAATATAATCTTTATTTAAATAAACAGCGCTGCCGCCACATCTGACACAGCCACCTGCTGCTGCGCCACAGTCCATTTACAGCTCACCCACATCAGCTGTCAGCACTCAACAATCCACACAACCGCAGCCAAACTATCACGGAATGCTGCCGACAGAGCAGCAACCACATGCGCTTCCACCGCAGTTTACAAATGCAGCAGGACCACCGCAGGCCACACAAATGCCATTGCCGCCACAGCATTACATGTCGCCGCAGCATCAACCACCGCCGCAGCAGGCTTACATGCCTGGACAAGCGCAACCACCACAACAGCAACAACCAACCCAAACACAACCCCAACACCAGCCCCAGCTATATGCCACAAATGGATTACCAGCAGCACCACAGAATTATATGCCACCACAGCAACAATCACAGCAGCAGCAACAAGCGCCGGCACCACCCCCAACACACCACATACACAACGATCAATTTAGTCAGCTGCAACAGCAAATGGCCGCTATGACGATGAGCCAGCATGTGGGTATGCCGCCTCAGGGCGCTCCCACCAATTTTCACATTCAAAACGATGCCGTCAAGAGCAACAACATTCCTATCTATCAGCAGCAGCGGTAAGACCGAGGCTTCAACCAAATCCATGCGCATCCTTCAATAAGTTGCTTTAAATTGTCTGAAACTTTGTTTCCTAAACGGTTTCGTTTCGTTTAAAAATAATGACAAACAATTGTACCGAAATATGCAAAAAGGTTTTTCTATTTAATGCAATTGCAGCGGCAACTAAATTGTAACAATTCAAAAAACAATGTCTTGCAGCGCAAGAGCTTTAATATTTGCTGCATTGTGCAAACTAATAATCTTTGTTTATAATTTCCCAGTTTCCTTTTCTCCGGCAAACTTCTAAGTTAAAATCAAATAGATTGCCGATAGATTACATTAAATACTATTCTATGTTATAACTCTTTTAATTCTTATTCCCTTTTGTTTATTTCTGTGCGATAATTTGTGAAGCGCAAAGCTACGATTTTTAAACGATGTGTGCAAAAGCGAAAAAGAAATGTTTTATGCTATACATATATAAATAATTAATCACACAGCTACCATATGAATATTCTACTTATATTATAAAACTTTACATTGAGCGCGAATGGCGCTAAAACTGAATGAAATCACTATTATGTATGTATTATGTTTATTGTACGTTTATTGATATGAATAATTAACGAAACGAATCATTCATTATGCAGATTTAACTACGTAAACATTACTGGCGGAAAGATTAAATTGATAAATTACTAACTAAACTGTTGTTTCTCCAACTATCTTATTGTAATCAATATCACGTGCGTAACTTAATATATTTGTGTATATAATGTTCCTCGTCGATTTTCTCCAACATACTCAGTCGTAGCTGGAATAGCTCCTGGCGATGAGCCGCCTCTTCCGTTGTAATTTCCGGCGCATTCAGCCAACACTTCATAGCAGCATAGATGTCTGAATATTTGCGAGGTGGCTGGCATAGTTTCTTCGTCGATTTTAGCTTGTGGCTCAAAATATTCGCCACATGTGAGTCCTCCACCGCAAAAAGTCCAATAGCAGTATTAACCATTTCGAAATGTGCAACAAACTATGCAGAAAGTTCTGCAAGCTCTGTTTTTATATGGTTCTTCAGATAGCATGCAGACTTTCTTCAAGCCCCAACTTCAATTTCTTGACTAACTTTTGGGCAAACTTTTAGAAAAGAATTTTCCGAGTTGTTTTATTATCAGATATAAATTGTTAATAGATCACGTCAACTTTTCATTATTTCACAGAAATTTTACGCAAATGCTAACAAGCTTTATGATTTCAAATAAAAACTTGTTCTGAGATCTGCAGAGAACAGCCTAAAAATTAATTGATGTTAATGACTGAATCACTATTTACTGTGTTCTAAATAAAATTCAGAAATTATATGGAAATATTAGCTTAGTATTTAACATGTCTAGAGGGCCTTTTGTCTCCGAATTCAATCAAAATGTCGAAATGATCAACATTTTCGATTCCTATGCGTTCTTCATCCAATATAACTTACCATTGGGTGTCCACAAAATATAACTGTAAGTGCTAGAGACGATATCTGTTATATCATTTTAATTGTTTTCTAGAATGTGTAGGGTATGTGTGGTCTGTTAAGCTTTCCTCGTCACACCTCTAAGTTTGTGAAGATTAGATTAGGAAGTCTCTACAAGAACTGAAAAAACTACGAATTTTGGGGGTATATCGTAACCAAAAAATGTAAAATTAAGGCTAACGTAAGCAGTATTTCACAAATTATAGAAATAATATTACGTACTATTTCCAATATCGACGTGAATATCTTTAATTTTAACTGTTTTAATGATATTTTGTTTGAGTTCAGTTCAATGTACATATGTATAACAAAAGTTATTGACTTGAGGAGGAAACGAAAATATTTTTAAAATAATGCAGACATTATATAATCTATATAGTATATTTAATTCTTATTATATACATGCCTTGACATAGAGTTCAATTATGTTGATAACACACAATGACAGAAAAACAGACAAAAACAAAACTTCGTTCATACACGTATGTATGTAAGTATTTGATGCGCGAATATAATTCTTGTATGAATCATCTTTTTATATACTTAGCCCATTGGAATCGATCGAATTATAATTGCAATTAGGGATTTGTTTTGTACTTGATTTAAAATTGTTTTATTCTTAGTCTAATAACATGAAAGCCCGATTTTCATATCATTATCGTATTGTGCTCGAATTAAGAATACCCATTCGCCCTGGATCGTAAAACGCCATTTGGACTCTCTAGATCGATGCTGTCTCTCCGGACCACAATGGTGCTTTGTAGGCCGTTTAGCAGTTTACTATAAAAATATATAACCCTTAGCTTACTTAGAATTAAGTCGGGAAAATATACGCTCACGTATAAAAGCTATAAAGCTAGTTAGGTGTTGAGATGCACCTGCTTGAGTTTGTCATAAATGCTGAAATACAGGGCCGTCGTTAGGCTAGACTTTAGGAGGGTGGGGGCCACACCTTTGTACAGCCCGCGTACACCCTCCTGCCGCACCGTTAGCTGCAGGCAATCCCAGACGCCACGGCATTGAATGTTTTGCCCGAAGGTCTGACGGTTGGACTCAAAACCCTGTATTTGCAGACGTTTCTTGATCAAATCAAACGGGTACACGATCGTCTTCGATAGCATGCCCGAGGTGGCGCCCAACACTAGGAGCGTCCAGGTAGGCAGCTTGCTGCGATCCTCAACCTCAAAGAACTTGCACGCTGACTGACTAAATAAGCGATACGCCATAAAGTTGGTGCCCATGAGGGGAGCGATTTGAAGCAGCGCCGAGGACAGTCCGCGATACATGCCACGTGGACCTTCGCTACGCACAATCGCCGCGACAGCACGTGTGGCATTGCGATAGCCCTTACTTGTGTCTTGGGCAATGAGTCGCGTCCGTATGACGTCGAGCGGCGTGGATATAATGACTGCAGCAGCGCCAGCCGCTGCGCCGCATATAAAATTCGACTGATGCGTGTGGTCCTTGAGGTAGGCGGTCTGTTTGGCGCGCAGACTCAACTGCTCGTACGTCCAGAACTGGCAAATACCATACATGATGCTCAGCACCTGTGCAGGATTATGACCCTTCCAGAAGGCCAGCAGTCCCTCTTCACGGTATATCGTTCCGACCGCTTGACTAATAGACGTGTACTTGGAGGTCTGTTTAGTGGCCGCTCGCAGTTTGTTTGCCCCGGCCCCGGCACCCAGTGGTTCCACCTGCAGCTGAAATCGAATCTTAAGCACATCTAGGGGCTGGCAGGTGGAACGCGTTATTGCCGCAGACACGCCTCCGGCCAAAATCTGTTGCAGCTGCTCCCGTGTGCTGTGTGTGCGTCTCGAGGATCCACTTGTCGTGGCAGAGGCACTGCCTCCTGTACTGGCTGTGCCAGTCGTAACGGCTGGCGTCATTTTACAGTTGATCTGTGCGTTACTCGATATATGAGTAATATATGTATATGGGTGTGTGTGTTGAGATTTCACTTTTTACTGCCTCGCGGTTTCGTCTTCAATGGAATTTCTGTAAATACAAAAGCAACGGAATTTATTTTTGTTGTTGTGGCTGTTTTTCGGTTGTGTTGCGCCGTTCGTTGCTGAACTAAACGGTGCCAAGCTGCTGAATAAAATTGTTTTGTTTGTCTCTGGCGTTATTATTGTAATATATGTATGTCGTTTGTCAGTTGCGCATGCGTTGTTTGCTTAACAGCCACACTTACACACACTTCAAAGAGTATGCGTAAGATGCGGCACCAAACAGACAGACCCCTGTGGACCTCTCAACAGTTCCAATTAGTTGTTGTGTTGAATTGCAAGTTCAGCGATGTTAATGAGAGTCAGACTCACAGGTGTCATGCTTAGTTAAGCGCTTTTATCAATGGTATTTATGTGCACATGTATATACATATGTATATCTACAGGGCAAAACGGTCCGGTACTTCAAACCAATTTCCACATCTAATGAAATTAATAGTCCTGGGTCAGGGAGCATTCATCTCCTTTCCTACACTCTCTCGACGGGTATTAATTATATGTATGTGCGTAATTTGTACATACATTTTTGAAGTCTCCTGGATGCTTGCGAGCTCCTTCTTTTCTGAAGAGTTTACAATCGACTGAGCGCGAATTTCATTGATCGGCTCGATGCGTAAATTTCGGTTTTAGCGATTTCACTTTTTATTGCTCGCGTACACACCCCGTCCCGCGGTTGGTTTCACGTTATTGAACCTGTTGTTGTTGTTGCAGTTGCTAAGCTTTGGCTTTAGCAAATCAAATTGCCACTTGCAGATTAACGTCTCTGGCTGTGGTGGACGACGGCAACAACACAACCTCCCGCAGCTGATGTGAAGTAATAACTGTTTTGTGGTGGCCGTCTTCGTCGTCGACGCTTCTTCATAACGGGCAGTGGCCACGATGTTGCGTCAAAACTTTCTTTTTCCATGCATGTGTGTGCGTGATGTATAGTTCGTACGCTGCCAATGGACAACTGATATTGCCGCAGTTTTGAGGTGTAGCTCAGCAACAGGCTTTTTGGTATCTTCCACCAACTATAAACAAACTGACCTTCAAGTTACGTCAATTGCAACAGCTGTTTCATCATGCAGTGTTGCCACTATTTGTCAAACATGTGCTCCGGCTACATTTTTCAGCGCTGACTCATAGGTGGCGCCCGCAATTGGTTGGTTTGTTTTTAAATTGGCTCTATTACATGTATTATGCATAAAAATTCATTTAGGAAACTGCAAATAATAAGTCCACTGGATGGGATATGCCAAAATCCAGCTACTTTCCAGTGAATGTTTTGGAGGAGTGTGTTTATTGTTTGCCGAGCAATGATTGGAGGCTTAGAGGATGTGGTGGTTTGGATGCATTAGCGGGCACCAGATGTGGTGGATATGGATATGATTATTAATAGTAATACCAGTGTATATATGTGCGGTTATATGGTATAATTGTATAAATATATGCACATATGCTTATGTATTCGGATTTTGTGGCCTGGAGATATAATTTATTTGATTTAACGTCCATACTTCTGGTACTCCCACTCACGATTGTCGAGCGGACAGACGTCGCGGGTCTTTAGCCAGCGAGAAATGCAATGATAGTGGAAGGCATGATTGCATATTCCCCAAGCCACAGTGCACTCCTCAGTTGTGACGACACTCTGACTGGCCTGGCACTCGATGCAGAGGTCCATGATGTGATTGCGGCAGATGGCACAATTATCTACCACAATGTCCCAGGCCCAAAGAGCTACGGCATTCCACTTTTTGATCTCAAAACGTTTTTTTGCGCAGCCCGAGCTGGTGGAAGGCTCCTCGGAGCTTTCCGTTTCTTTTGAATCTACAAATTGATAATCCACGTGAATTGTGACCGACGTAAAGGTTGATGCTGATTTTACCCATCGAATCTGGTTCGTACATTTCTTCATCGACATCCATTGCAAACGTGTATTCTATAATGTCTTAGGAGCGGTATTTGTAAATAAAATAATTTTATATCACTGGTAAGAGGTGGAAAAATGTATTGACAATAATGGCGTCTGTCAATCGGAAGCTTCGGCAATTTTTAAAAGGTACTCAAGGCACTCATCGAAGATGATATCGATATTGCTAGTGCTGAACAAGGGGCTTTAAAGATGATAAATGTTGCAATTCAACATCTTTAATGCAGAGCTAAAAAAATTTGCAAAATTTTTAAAAGTGTTTTGTGTCTCCCATAATTAACTAACTACTGAAGTAACTTCAAAAGCGGTTTCATATATAGTATGGTATACACATATAAAAACGGTTACTTTGTCGTGTCTGTACGTCTCCATCTGCGTGTTATATACATACGTACTAAACTAATACCCTTCGGGTAGAGGTCATAGTAACAATTTTTATTTTAAAAATATAATTTCGAAATTAAAACATGCATATAATTTCCAGTTTTACCAATACATTGTTTCTTCATATTTAAATTGTTCAAATTTATTAATAAATTTGTTGATTAAAGAAAGTTTTATCAAACATGAATAAATAATATTATGTAAACTTGTCCTTTTCCTAAGATGTTTTCATAATCTAATATTGTATGTATTTGCATATCAGTGATCGAAACCTCTTTAGGATTCAAAATTCCGCAATATTGCTTTTATATCATATAAATAAATGTGGAGCGTGAAAGCGGTGTTTCAGATAATTGTTGATTTTTTTCAAAATCCTTTTCCATTTGCCTTCCCAATTCCCTCTTTACAAAAATTTGTTTAAGAATATGTAGAGTTCAACGAAATTTAATGAAAATGCCTATCAGTGGTTTTTATAAAATATTTGTTTCAACCTTCAGTTTACTTGCCATGTTTTCGGTTATTGTTAAACCCGATGGATGGATGAACAATTTGTAGTTGTAGTTGCTTTTGGATATTTTGGAGGCAAAATAAATTGGGTCTATGTTATGCATTAAAATTCAATTGTTTAGGAAACAGCAAATAGCTCAATTATTATCATCACTGCATGTGATATGCCAAAATGCAGCACCTTATTGTGTTTATTGTTTGTCGAGCAATGACTGGAGGCTTAGAGGATGTGTTGGTTTGGATGCATTAGCGGGCACCAGATGTGATGGACATGGATATGATTATTTATAGTAATACCAGTGTATATGTGCAGTTATGTGGCACAATTGTATAAATATATGCCATATGCTCATACATATATTCGGATGTTGTGGCCTGGAGAAATATTTGATTTAACGTCCATACTTCTGGTACTCCCATTCACGATTGTCGAGCGGGCAGACGTCACGGGCCTTTAGCCAGCGTGAAATGCAATGATAGTGGAAGGCATGATTGCATATTCCCCAAGCCACAGTGCACTCCTCAGTTGTGACGACACTCTGACTGGCCTGGCACTCGATACAGAGGTCCATGATGTGATTGCGGCAGATGGCACAATTATCTACGACAATGTCCCAGGCCCAAAGAGCTACGGCATTCCACTTTTTGACCTCAAAACGTTTTTTAGCGCAGCCCGAGCTGGTGGAAGGCTCCTCGGAGCTTTCCGTTTCTTTAGAATCTACAAATTGATAATCCACGTGAATTGTGACCGACGTAAAGGTTGATGCTGATTTTACCCATCGAATCTGGTTCGTACATTTCTTCATCGACATCCATTGCAAACGTGTATTCTATAATGTCTTAGGTGCGGTATTTGTAAATAAAATAATTGTATATCACTTGTAAGAGGTGGAAAAATGTATTAACAATAATGGCGTCTGTCAATTAAAAGGTACTCAAGGCACTCATCGAAGATGGTATCGATATTGCTAGTGCTGAACAAGGGGCTTTGTTGCAATTCAACAGCTTTAATGCAGAGTTGACAAAAATGCAAAATTTTTAAATGTTTTTTGTGTCTCCCATTATTCACTAACTACTGAAGTGGCTTCAAAAGGGGTTTCTTATATAGTATACACATTTAAAAAAGGTATTCCTGCAACTAAATTCGATTTATTATATATCTTGTCAAGTAGCTGATGTCGAATACTGTAGTAAGAACACACAGCTTTTGGAAAGTACCGTCAAACTCTTTTTAATGAAGACATCATTTACTTTGTAGTGTCTGTTACGTCTCCTTCTGTGTGTTATAATATTGTATGTATGTATAACCTTTAAAATTAAAAATTCCTCAATATTGATTCAAATAAAATCGCACAGCTGCTTCTCTTTTTGCGGTCAATGTTAGAACAATAAGGAGTTATTTGCTTAAAGTTTCTAGGCTAACATATTCCTATTTCAATTTCGATAGCTGCCAATAAAAAGCAACCTGTCGAAAAGCAAAATGGTTTCCTAAACATAAACTTATCTCATGCAGTTGCAGTGACTGGCAAATATTTCTTGTTGTGTTTGGTTCTTCGTTAACTGCTACAAAAATAATGTCTTCCTTTGCGGGTTGTTATCTGTTGGCGTTGGAATTCATTCTATTGTATATAAATTAAATTAAATGTTATTAATTAAATTTTATTTCTATTTACAGATATTTTTTAATTCGTCAAGTCTATTTCGAAATCCTCTCCGGTTAGCCTTCTCAATTCTGTCTTTACAAAAATTTGCTTAAACAAGATAGAACGCTACAGTCGAGCAAGCCCGACAGTAAAATAGCCTGTACTCTCCACAAAAAAGAAAAATTAAAAAAAAAAAAATTAAAAAAAAAAATTTAAAAAAAAATTTAAAAAAAATTAAATTATTAAAAAAAATGAATGAATGAATTAATTAATTAAATTAAATGAGAATACATGTTTATGTTCAGTTTTAACAGCATACATTTACATCACGTACCTATGCGTGTTTATATGCGTGTATGTATGCAGCACAAAGTTGAACCAAAGCAGCAACAACAACAACAGCTGCGGGCAGCGCTGCCGACAGAGGCAGCGCATGAGCAGCGATTTTACTTATGGCTATAACTTTCTACAGAATTGACCTATCATGATGAAATTTGGCATACGGACACATTAGTACTAACTGGATGTACCTACCAAAATTGATTTCAAAATTCCGAGAATTACGGAAGTTATAAGAAAAAACACGAATTGCGGGGGAGTGGGGGGGTGCATCGAAAAAAAACTCAAACTCGTACTTTCTCGGCCTTAGGAGAATATGGAAACCAAGTTTGGTTATTCTAGCTCTTATACTTTCTGAGATCCTTGCGTTCATACGGACAGACAGACGGACAGACGGACGGACGGACAAGGCTATATCGACTCGGCTTCTCATCCTGATCAATAATATATATACTTTGTGGGGTCTGCCACGCCTCCTTCTGTGTGTTACATACATGCGCACAAAACTAGTATAGCCTTTCACCCTTTGGGTACAGGCTATAAAAATATGGCGATTTCAACGAAACTTAATTAAAAAGGCAATCACTGGTTTTTAAAAAATATTTGTTTCAACCTTCAGTTTATTTGCCATGTTTTCGGTTATTGTTAAGCCCGAAGGCTGAATTTACTATCAATTTTCGCCTGTAGTTGCTTTTGAATATTTTGCAGGCAATATTGTCAATTTTATTTGCCACGCCAAAAAGTATGCAACAGTATTCGCGCAATTCCTTTAAATTAAATTCCCTCGTCAAATGTCCATTTCTGGTGCAATAAATACGAATTGTACAATGAATAGAAAAACGATTTAAGCGAAACATGCAAATATTTGGAATGCGCATGTGTGTATGAGAGTGTGAGTGTACAGTTAGAAAGGAAAAAGCAAAAAAACAACAATATGCCTGGGGAAAACTGCAAATGTCAATAAATACAAACTTTCATAATTTAATTGATTTTGCTGGCCTTGCAGAGCGCGTGCTCTTGCTTTAAAAATGTTGCCATTCCATGGAATGCTCTGCAATGCCTGCTCCTATCCCTTTTGTGTGCAAAATTTCCGTTGTGTTCGCTGCAACATTGACGACGTTTTCAACATTATAGTCCTTATAGTCGATGTTGTCGTCTCCAATTGATTGCAATTTGCGCATTTGTACTGTTGGGTATTTGCATTTGCATTTCCATTTGCCTTGCCTCGATGCCTTTTGTCGTTGTAGTTGTCGTCTCGTTAATCGGCCGTACGAGGCAGCAACTGGCTCAAGGACGAGCTCACGCACATTGCTCATACGCCACGTGGATCGTGCATATGTAGCTTAAAAGTTGATAAACTTCGCTTTACATTTTTGACACATTGAAGCCGGTCGGTTGGCCGCTTGGGCTCTTGGTTGCTTGGTCGCTTGGTCGCTTGGCAATAAAATCAAATGATGCGGGTATCGTAAAGCTGTGCAGCGTCGCGTTTTCCATGTCGTAAAAGTATACGCTGCATATACGTTATGTATTGTATTTTCATTTCGCTGTACAGCCGTGCAAATCCCTTAAAAAAGTAACAAACAACAAAAACAAAAAGCACATGCCTGTGTCTATGTGGCTCTGTCTGATGTCAGCTCTCTGCTTGGCTCTGACTGGCATTTGTGGTTTAAAGCGGCATAAATGTTTCTGAAAGGCGTCAGAAAAAAATTGTATATAAAAGGAATGCCAAGCGAATGTGAGTGGGCGGCATGATATGTCACTGGCCGTTTGTAGGTAAAGACCCATCGAAACGACGCTCATCTAATAAAAAATTGTGTGTGGCATAAATGGATATGCAAACAAAAAATATTTATGAACATTTGCTGGCGATATGCAGTCAATGGCCCATTGTTAGCGATAAGCCGAGAATAGTTTATAAACTTTTTTTTTTTTGGCAAATAGAAAATGGTGCAGAAGTTTCAACATGTTATGTAATATTGGTTGCTAATATGTTTGATAAAAGGATACTTTCAAAAGGTTGTGACAAAAATGAAACGCTTACTTGATTTAAAGTGATAAATGTTTAAATCAGTTCACAGATAAAGGATATAGTTACAAAAATGAAGTCTAACCAACTGGGTCAACAGTATCTCTGATATCAAATAACGAACGAAAAAAGTTAAAAACTGTATTTTACAAGAGAACAAACAGTTCATTTTATCAAATAAAAATAGTCAACATCTTCAATTTGTCTATAATTCAAAGACCAAGTTTTCTTTAATTAAGTAAATGTTTTCTTTTAAGTATAGGATATTTTTGGAACATAAGAATATTTTCTCCAGATTTGTTGTCGACTTTTTAGTGAGAAAGTAAACAAATAATAATTGCTGTTAGGATTATCTTACGCTTTAAAAGTTTTCTTTTCAAATATAACACGAAAATTACAAAAATTAAAAAACATTCAAGGCTCAATAACATAAAATATTAGTTTCACAGAAAAAGGTTTGTATATTTTCCAGCGTACTTGCTTACAAGTGCTTTCACCAGCTCGATAAAAAAAGTATATTTTAAAACGATGCTCATTACATTTAATTCTTTACCCCAAGAAACCACGAATTGCGTTTTCTCTATTATTATTACCTGTCAATTTTTGCTACCTTATCGTTCTTCTGTAGCGTAACGTGGCGGACTATTATTTAAGAGCACGCAATTTCCTGGGCATGTGTTAGTGACAGGAAATTCGGCCATTACTCAAATACCATTTTACTTTTTTTAAGGTCACGGTGCACAGCCCATATGGAAACTGCCAAATGACGCAATTTTGCGTTTTAAATGCGTCTGCCATTAGATTGCAGAAATAGCTTAGTTTGTGAAGTTTTTGTTGCTGAAAACTTTCTTCCTTTTAAAAGTGTGTTTTTTAATGCTACAGTGGCTCATGGAGAGGGTTGTTAAGAGCGCTAATTAATTTGTGGTTAGGCTGTCAATTATTTTTTCAAATTTAAGTTTGGTTTTACAAGTTTGTCCATCAATTAACTGAAGAATGCAAATGACTTAAATAATTGGTTGACATTTCCATTTAATTACATCTAATTTATGGAATTTTTGTAAAAACGATTTATTACAAAATGTAATTTTATGTGAATTATTTCAAATACGCATAAAATATGCACATAACAATAATAAAATTAGTGGCTGCGTGCATTATCCAAATAATTGCATGTGTAAAGTGCATTTTGTTTTTTCATGAATAACGTTGCTGGTCAAGCTGAGTTCTTTGATAATTGTTATATTTTTGAAAATAGCCCCGAACAATAATAACGTGTGGTTTATGAAAAGTACTCCTTAAGTCTGTTTTTTGGAATTTGATCAGAATATGACCTTCTAAGCAAAAAACAGCACATTTTAAATAATTTTGATTCATTTTAAAATAAACATCAATTACTTAATTCCATTTTAGATTTAACATGTTGCAGGGATGCCTACCTAAGTCAATGTGATCGAATATTATTGTCCTGATCCAAAAACTGATCTATATAGTTGCACAAATACTTGTGTATCGTATCCCCTTCAACGGCACGAGGAATGTACACATTTAAAAATTAATAAATAAATAATATCAAAATATCAATATAAATTAATTAATTTAATGTTAATTTACTTTTACTTATATGCACACTAAACTAATATTTTTTCTTGAAGCTCTTCGAAATTTAATTTACTATTACTATAAAAAAAATGTCATTTAGAATACGAATCGAAATTAATAATTTAATAAAGTGTAAGCTAATAATAATTTTTATATTTATTTATAAACAGCTTAATTAGTAATTAAAATTGCAGATAAGCTATGGAATAAGCTATAGCGACGAGGCCTTAAGCCTAACTTAAAAATAGTATGATTTATTGTAGTGGAATTGATTTTTTATACAAAAGTTGAAGATAATAAGAAGATATTGTGTGTGGAATTGTAATTGCTAAAATTTATGATTTAAATTTGATTTTTTAAGAAACATTATAAGTATTTTATAGTTGTCTTTAGATGGACAAAAAAGAGAAGTGGATGGGTCGAGGGATGGGAAATAAATCTGTCGGTAGATATTAAATTCTGGTTGGTTTTTGTGAAAAGATTAAGGAATTTTTGTAGAAAGTGGGATTTAATGAATCTAATGATGTCTAATGCTAATAAATAATTTAGCGCTTTATAAGAAATTCCTCAAAGTTGACGTCTGAGTGCAGAAAAGCAGGCTATATTTTTGGAAATTGCTTTGGCAAATGAAATGAAAACAAATGAAGCGCTGGTACAATTAATTAAAAACAAAGCATGCCAAAAACAACAAAAATTACACAATAATGGTACACAAGTTCAACAATAAAATAAGAGCAACAACAACAAGAACAACAACTTCCAGAACAACGAAGGCAGCAAATATTCGTCTGTTAATTATTTAAAGCTGCTGCACGCTTGTCGCTGCCTGTGTGGGTGCGAATGTGCGTGTGTGCGTGTGTGTTCGCGTATGTTGAACACATTTTCAATTAACAGAAAAACACTCACATGACACCCCAGAACGGAGCGCTAACACATACACGCACAGAACATATGTATACGAAAGGTTGATTTGTTTAATTAAATTACATTCATACACACACACACACACACACATACACGCTCACTCACTAAAGCCTTCAATCATTCACAGTTTTCCAATCACTCATTGGCTCATTCACGCGCACAAACAAAAGTCATTATGCAGTTGTGCAAACGCATATGTGTGTGTGTGTCTGTGTGTGTGTGTGTGTGTGTGTTAGTGCGTACGAGTATGTGTCAGCCATTGTGTACTATATTTAAGCACTTAGCTGGCGCTCTTGATTCAGAAAAGGAAATCTTATATTGGTTCGATCAAATGCAAATCATGCATTCATTGTATTTATGTATGTGTGCTTACAGCTGTCAGCTATTTGCCTTTCCCCATTAGAATTTACGCTGATTGAGTGCGCAATTGAAATGCTAATTAATGCTTGATATATAAGTCATACAAAAGCGTTTTGTTTTGTAATTGGTAAGGCGCATGCAAGATGAACGGCAATTCTTATTGTTAGTTCATTGTTATATTGCCATTGAAATCACAATAAAGAGGCCTAGAGCTATTGATGTACATATTTGATAATTGGCCATCATACACAGAAAAAAAATTGGGCAAGAATGTGGTTGAAAGTGACAAACAGTGACAGCTCGAAAATTGAATTTCAATTTAAGAACGTTTTTATTGCTTTATTATTATTTTATTATTGAATAATAGACGTCTCTGCTGACTTGCTGGCCGATTTACCGCACTTGCCACCAAAAGCAGCCCTTAGCTGTTTTTATTAAATGATTAGGCTTTGTTCCACTTACGTCTTGCCTAAATAACAAGGCATATTTCACTTTCAATCAGCAATAAGCTCCTCCTCTCTAGCAAGTAGAGGACTTCATCAAACTTTCACTGCACTTCAGCGGCTCGAGCACTTGACATGCATTTAGGTGGCGGCTGGGTTGAAAAAGAATGTTACTTAGGCACACGCTGTTCCGCCAATTGACACATTTTGGGGGTCTCTGACAAAGGGAAGTGAATCGAGTGGTGGGAGCAGTGCTCAAAAGACTTTGGAGATGCTTACATGATTTCTGCATTATTGAAAACTTAAGCAGCAGGCAATTAAAAATGACGGCAACACCAGAGAGAGAGAGAGAGACACAGAGACAGAGACAAAAGCGACGGCCACAACTTGCAACTTGCTCGTAAGCTGCAGCTGCAGCTGCCAACAAAGTGGGTTTTGTGCCGCCGGCTAAAAAGTGCGGATGGGCTTGCATGCAAGTTTTATGCAAATTGCATGTTAGACACTGTCTTGGTGCAAAAAAGATAAATTACTTTTAAATTGTGTGACAAGGCAGTTGTGTGGCAGTGAAATGTGTCTGTCCACATGATGATGACTTTCTGATTTGTTTTTGAATAAGTTTCGTGTGTATTTCTGCTCTTCAGGCACAACTTTTAATGGATCCGGCTCTGAAGCAATTGTGCAGCTAGATTTCTTTTTTCGTTTATTATTTGTTAATTGATATTGTATTTGCTGCAAAAAGTTTATTCACACTTGCAGCAAATCAGTAATACAGTTAAAAGAACAAGGCAACTAACTCACTAGCTATAACTACTCGTACTATGTACACTATACACGGCCAAAACAAACGGTAATAATAAAATTATGTGCCAGCTAGAACAGCAACAAACATTTGCAACTTATTAGCCGAATTGTGTGTGCCAAGGGCAGAATGCTGAGGCAAACAGTTTTGGGAAGCAGCCGCCGGAAGGATAGAAGACCACACATTTATTGCGCCGAAGTATAAATACCTTGCAAGCTGGAATACAAAGTACAAGAAAGTGACAAAAATGAGCTGAGATGAACAATTTCTGATATTTGAAATAGAACATTGAAATGGTCAGCAGTGTTATTTTTATAATTTTAAATTAAATGTAAGTGCGATTTCATTTCTATTTTATTCTTATTGGAGACTCTCTAATCCGGACCCTAGGTTTTTTTTTGTTACCTAGAAATCCGGGAACTTTGCTTTTTTGTTTTTTTTTTCTCTGTTATTTTTCTGCTTTAATCAATGATTATGTTCGGCGAACATTTAAAAAGAAAGGATTTCTTACATAAGCCAATAATTATTTGCAAATAAATGAATGATTTAATAAATGAAAATCTGTAGGTTCATTGGGTTTTTGCAATTATATATGATATCGTTCCTATAACTGTTTCACAATAGATATTTTTATTCAGCTAGATTGAATGAACAATTTGGTAATTTATTAAACACAAGCTTAAGCCTACAAGTACCTCGTTTAGTGCGGATCCCGTTCGTCGGCGCACAGTTAAATAAACTTAAATAAACTTTATCTGTGCTTACCAAATGGTATGTATACTTTATGAATCCACCCTCTGTATTTTATGTGCAATTATAGTGACATAGTATAACCATTTATCCTTTGCAGAGTATAAAAGCGCACAGGTTAGCAAATTTTGTTCACCACAAGAGCAGCAGCAGAGTCATTCACATATAGTAGTTGTAGCATAAATATCTGAATGGGTGTATGTATGTATGTGGGAAGGTAGGTGGATGGGTGTGGATTGTGTATGTGTTGGTTGGTTCGGTTAGGTGTAAGCACCTGCAGCTGCCATTTCAATTTTTTGTCCCTGTGCAACTATTTTCTATTCATTTATGCATTTTAGCAATAAAAATTTTGTTTTTTGCTTAACTAAGTGAAACGAAAAGGTTAAAAACAGCACAGTCACGGTGCCGGATATCACAACCAGGACATGGACCTAGACAACAGCAACAGAGACGCCAACTGCACTCAAAAAGGCTTTTATCTTGGGCGCTGTTGTTTGGCCAGCGTCTGAGTTCGGCCGGGGTCCGGGACAACGGGCCTTCCCATGCTTCCCTAGATAGCATTTCCTTTTGCCGCTTTTTGTGTTTGTTTGCAAACATTTTTTAAATTGTTTGCTGTAATTTGTTTCCGGCCAACGGCAACGGCCGCTGCGCCATTTTGCGGCCAGCATCGTATCCGCAGTATGCCGCCACAGTATTTGTAGCTTTTATACTATTGTTATTATTAAAAAATTATAATTTAAATGTTTGTCTATCTATGTTTCTGTAGCACGTTTGCCCCTTTTTCTGCGTGCTGCCGGCCAACAGATGCAAAACCATTTGGTTCAACGCACCCAACTCCAATTAGTTATGTAATGTCCCTTGCATGTCCCTTTGACATTTATTAGTTTGACTTTTTGCCGAATTTATGGTTCAGGAATAAAAATCTATGAAAATGTTTTGCAGCTGACACTAAAGCCACACAGTCACGTTTTTCAAGTTTCACAAAATAGGCCAACGAAAAATCAATTACGTTATGTTGGAACACGATAAAAACACTTTTCTTCTTCTGGGTGTTATGTGCTTTTTCAAAATAATTTTACATTTTGAAGAAGTCATTTAAAGCTCGATTTTTGCTAAGGGTTTTATATTTGCCGATGCATAGTGCTTTAGCACCATGTACTGGTAAAAGTTTTCTTTATTTTTACTTAAAGATTGTTTAAAATGGAAAGTAAATAAAATAATGAATGAAATTCTAGATCGGTGCGGGTCCCAACAGAATGAAATACCAAGTTTGGTTGCAGTTTTAAAACAACTTATAGATGGAAATAGCTTTATATGCTTCTCATTATACTGATAAGTAATATACAAGTATGCATATAAGTACTATGTGTCGGAGAATGAGGCGTAACTCATCGCAATAGTGCAGTGAAAAATTCAATATTAAATAGTCAGCTGCATATATACTGCCACAGTATATTCAGCCTTCTCCATCCTATGAACTACAAACGGAGCCACAATCGACGTCAACAAAGATGCTGTCTCTCTCTTCTTCGTCGCTTTGACAAAAGTAACGGAATAAAAATGTAACAGAAACAGAAACAGAAATTGGTAGGCCTGTCTACCTTATGGACGATAGAATAAAAATTACAAATTATGTCAATGATAGTTAAACTAATTTTAATTACTATGTAAACAATAATTAAGTTCAAATTAAAGTAAATACAATCATAATGCAATGGCAAATAGAAGTAAATAAAAAATGTACAATAATTTCGAATTGCATAATACTTTATTTGATATTCAAAACTCTACAAATTACTAACAAACTATATAAAATGTTGACCAATCATTTTAAAATCCAAGTTGAGAAATTTTCCAGAGAATAATTTATGACCATATAATAATTAAATCATAGCGCGGATGCTGAAAAACGTATTAAATAGCTCTGAATTATATACGAATTGTTAGCAATTGCCGCCTTGGCAAGACTGTTGCATCATTGTACAATAAAAGAAGTTGTTGAGTTGGAAACAAAGTTGCCCTGCCATTTGCATGGAATTCTTCGGGGGACCTACCCGATAAATTGAATCCGTCTGGCAGACTACCGAATATTTAGCATCACATTCATAATCATGATATATCATGCCGTCAGTGGTCAATTCGCAGGTAGATACGCACTGTTGTTCGGGCTTATCAGGTTGGCCTGGGGCCCATATCGGATATGGTATTGAAGTATTCAAAGGATGCACAAGGAATTCCTTTTTGTCAAGTTCGTTTATAGCCGTCCAAACGCCACTATACCAGCATTGTAGAGGAATTGCCAGCGTTTTCAGATAGTTCCTCACAAGCATCCTTTCCTGATCGTCGTTAAATACCAACATTTGAGAATCTTTTGATCGACATATGCGTTCGGCTTCTTGCCATGTGACCTACAAAAACACTTATTTATACAACATTTAAAATCTATAATCAGGACTTACCGCATTCTTTGACACATAATAGCACTTGCTGCCCAAAATTGCAAAGCCCATGGGGCAATACGCTACAGCAATACTCAACAAACTAAGGATACAGAGCGAACCCAAAAGAAGTGCCATTTCAGGAGAGTTTCCAGACTGGTCTGAATTGCTCGAATATTTGAGTTCCCTTTTATACGCAACATTTGAAATAAAAAGTATGAAATATATGCCAGAAATTAATTCCGACCAGTTGCTGTGTTATGCAAAATTGAAGATAAAGTCAATTTAGTGTAGAAAATAATAGTGCATTGTTTGGGGAACGATCTTGCATTAACAATCTAACTTATAAGTTAAGCAATCTCTTCATTTTCCTCTCCTGACGACCATTTCAAATGCAAATCACCAAAATATATTTAAAAATGTTAATTTCTCTATTTAGCATGGTTGCGCATAATCCATCATGTGCCGTCTGTCTGTCCGTCTGAATAAACGCCGCGAATTTCTGAGTCAAACCAGATAAGAACACAAAACTAGGTATGTAAAATTGTTGAACCCATAGCATTCATTTTTTTTAAATCGGTTATGATAAATATAACTGAGAATCTTTGAGTTTCAACATTAAAAAGTGGACTTTGAAATACTCGGTAGATGTGTGTAGAATAGTTAAAGAAATTTAAAAAAATGAAAAAAGTAACGAACTTTTAATATAAAACATATCTTTTGATCGATTATACCTTCTTTTCGTAAAGGGTGTATAGCTGCACATTTACAGAGAAATTGTGTCTTTGAGAGTGTTTGCGTGTATGTGCGTGTCTGGGCGTGTCTGTGTGCCTGTGTAAGCAGCAACAACAACAACAGCTGAGATTACATATATGGCTATAACAACCTCTCAAATTGACCTATTTTGATGAAACTTCAGATACTGGATTCATTTTCTGCGTTTAATTCAAAAACACACTTTAGGATTAAGATCTTATATTGTATATTAAAAAAATTAACCATTAATTTAGTTTTTATTTAATTTCTTTTTAATTACGCTGACAGAAAAGTTGAGTTGTAACATTCAAACATTTCATTTATCATTGGAAGTGTTTGAAACTTCATTACAATGGTCAATTTTTGTTTCAAAACATTATCTTTCTTACTGGACATGTATAAGAAGTAAATCGTAATTTTATTTATTTTAATTATTTAATAGCACTAAAGGTATAATGTTATTAAAAACATGTATTAGAATGTTTACAATAAATTTAAAAATCACTTATAATTCGATTTTAGCAAGTGGCTTTATATTTTGCGAGGCATGGTGCTTAAGAGGTTTACAATATGGGGGAGCTTGTTCAACTTCAACGCAGATTTCTGTCTCTTCTGCGGGTGCAGGATACTGACATACAGCTCTAAAATCGCTATTGCACCGATAATCATGATAGACTAAGGCTTTTGGCCTTAAGTGATAGCAACATGACACACACTTTTGAACGTCATGGTCAGGCTGTCCAGGTCCCCACATATCAAATGGAATTTGTTCGTTTGTGGGATACACAATAAACTTGCGGTTTTCTTTGAGGCAATTAATTGCTGTCCAAACTCCAGAACCCCAACAATCTAATGCAAGTCCTTCTCTTTTGAAAAATGCCAACAGAAGATCCTTTTCCTTTTCATTTTCTACCACCAACATCTGGGTTTTTTTCTCAGCGCAAAAGTCCCTGGCCGGAAGCCACTCCATCTTTAAGAATTGGAGGTAAGGAACTAAAAATTTCTAAATCAGTATAATAAGTACCTTCTTGTCGGATATAATGTAACATTTTGTGCCCACGAGCTTAAAGCCCTCCCGACAAGTTGCCAGAACACAACTCAACAGACTTATAGTACACAGAGATCTAACAGTAAGCATTACGGGCACTTGAGTGGGCAGTATTTACTGATCCCTGAGATATTTGAATACCCTTTTATAGCTGCTTAAGCTTAAGATGTGACTGCACATTTGCTTAAATTAATAATACGAATAATAAATTCACAGACGCGATCGTGTTATGCACGACATGAAATAGTTTTTTGAAATGTTTTCCTGCTCGCTATTTAAATAATAGACAGATAATATTTTCAGATACAGTTTATTTGGAATATTTAATCAGCTTGGTCGTCATTGGTTAGAAGCAACTTAAACTGCTCCGCACTAAGTTTATTACAAACTACATATGTATGTATATATACAAAAATTTGTTTTTATTTCTGTAATGCATCACCATATAAAGAGTTCATCCAAATTGACTCACTACATCATGTAGCTACCATGGAAATAATTGGTACAGAAAAGTTTATTTAACTGAAAAGGCTGTAGCGGTGAAAAGAAGGGTTTGAATGGTCGAGATAGCATGTCCATAAACCATTATTGACTTGGTACCAAAATAGTATGGTATTAGAAAGCTAATAAATATTAAGGTTACCTGAATAAGGTTACCCTGATCAAATTCCCTAATTACACAAATGAAGGTCTTTGGCTTTAATTTCATATATCAATATACCACATTAAATAATAATTTTTTAATATTGTTTTTTATTTTAGTTATTGTTGGACCCCCTTTGGTGGCTTAAATCAAAATTCTGTGTAAGAACACCAATTAGGAGCCCAATCAAAAGGTCAATTCTTATTTCAAAACACTATCGTACTTACTGGAAATATACACAAATTATATAATATTAAACATATGTTGTTATTTTATTTCAATTCTTCAATTTAATCAAGAAATTACTTAAAGTTCGATCTTAGCAAGTGGCTTTATGTTTTGCGAGGCATGGTGCTTAAGAGGTTTACAATATGGGGGAGCTTGTTCAACTTCAACGCAGATTTCTGTCTCTTCTGCGGGTGCAGGATACTGACATACAGCTCTATACTCGCCATAGCACCAATAATCATGATACACTAAGGCTTTTGGGTTAGCGTGATAACAACATGACACACACTTTTGAACGTCATGGTCAGGCTGTTCAGGTCCCCACATATCAAATGGAATTTGTTCGTTTGTGGGATACACAATAAACTTGCGATTTTCTTTGAGGCAATTAATTGCTGTCCAAACTCCAGAACCCCAGCAACCTAATTCAAGTCCTTCGCTTTTGAGAAATGTCAACAGAAGATCCCTTTCCTTTTCATTTTCTACCACCAACATCTGGGTTTTTTTCTCAGCGCAAAAGTCCCTGGCCGGAAGCCACTCCATCTTTAAGAATTGGGTAAGGTAAGCAACTACAATTTTTAAAATCAGTATATTAAGTACCTTCTTGTCGGATATAATGTAACATTTTGTGCCCACGCGCTTAAAGCCCTCCCGACAAGTTGCCAGAACACAACTCAACAGACTTATAGTACACAGAGATCTAACAGTAAGCATTACTGGCACTTGAGTGGGCAGTATTTACTGATCTGTTAGGTATTTGAATACCCTTTTATAGCTGCTATTTTAAGCTTAAGATGTGACTGCACATTTGCTTAAATCAATAATACGAAGCGATCGTGTTATGCAAGACATGAAATAGTTTTTTGAAGTATTTTCCAGCTCGCTATTTAAATAATAAACAGATAATATTTTCAGATACAGTACATTTCAAATATTTAATCAGTAACAGATCCAGCTTGGCCGTCATCGGTCAGAAACAACTTCAACTGCTCTGCACTACCAAAGACGTGTCGATTTGATGGCAATGTTGACAGATTAATAGAGCTGTCCTCATCCCAGTTTTTGTTTTCTGAATCTAAGGTTGCTATCACAGTTACGTCATAAGACCGATAATTATGCAGCCGGCTTGTTTTATCCATACTCAGAGTAAGTTTATTACAAATCACATATTTACCAGAATTTGTTTTTATTTCTGCAATGCATCACCATCTGTAGCTGTCATGGAAATATTTGGTACAGAAACGTTTATTTAACTGAAAAGGCTGTAGCGGTGAAAAGAAGGGTTTAAATGGTCGAGATAGCATGTCCATAAACCATTATTGACTTAGTCTCCAGTATATTGGAGAGCTATTAATAATAATAAAGTTACCTGAATAAGGTTACTCTGATCAAATTCCCTAATTACACAAATTAACGTAATTGGCTTTAATTTAATTTATCAATATTACACATTAAATAATAATATTACAATATTTTTTTAGTTATTGTTGGACCCCTTTTGATGGCTTAATCAAACTTCTGTATAAGAACACCACTTAGGAGGCCAATCGAAAGGTCAATTCTTATCTCAAAACACTATCGTACTTACTGGAAATATACACAAGTTATGTAATATTAAATATATGTTGTTATTTTATTTCAATTCTTCAATTTAATCAAGAAATTATTTAAAGTGCGATCTTAGCAAGTGGCTTTATATTTGGCGAATCATAGTACTTAAGAGGTTTACAATATGGGGGAGCTTGTTCAACTTCAACGCAAATTTCTACCTCTTCTGGGGGCTCAGGATACTGACATACAGCTCTAAAACGGGTACTATCGCAGTCCCAATCATGATACACTAACTTCGCTGGTTTGTAGTGATAACAAAGTGGCACACACTTTTGATACGAATTGTTGGGCTGATCAGGTCCCCACATATTAAATGGAATTTGTTCGTTTGTGGGATGCACAACAAAGTCGCGATCTTTTTTGAGGCAATTAATAGCTGTCCAAACACCTTTCCAATAGCAGCTTAATTCAATACCTTCGCTTTTGAAAAATGGCAGTAGAATTTCTCTTTCCGTTGCGCTTTCCACCACCAACATCTGGGCTTTCTTCTCAAGGCAAAATTCCGTGGCCATAATCCACTCCATCTGTAAGAATGCGGAGGTAAGTAACTAAAATATTACAATTTTTAAATATGTACTTCATTGTCGGATATAATGTAGCATTTGGTGCCCACGCGCTTAAAGCCTTCCCGACAAGTTGCCAGCACACAACTCAACAGACTTATAGTACACAGAGATCTAACAGTAAGCATTACGGGCACTAGAGTTGTCAGAATTTACTGATCCCTGAGATATTTGAATACCCTTTTATAGCTGCTGATTTGAAGCTTAAGATGTGACTGCACATTTGTTTAAATTAATAATACGAATAATAAATTCACAGACACGATCGTGTTATGCAAGACATGAAATAGTTTGCTAATTTTTTTTCTGCTCGCCATTTAAAATATAGTCAGATGAATTATATTTAAAATATTTAATCAGTAACAGACCCACTCTGGAAGCAACTTCAACTGCTCTGCACTAACAAGGCGTATTTGATGGCAATGTTAGCAGATTAATAGAGCTGTCCTCCTAAGAGTAAGTTTATTACAAACCACATTGTATATTTACCAATATTTTATATTTATAGCGGAGAGTAGGAGGATGTGCAGGGTATTTAATGGTGACTTGGCTTTCATTCTATAATTTTCCAATATAGACAATGAATAACGAAATAATGTAATTCAAGAACCTGTTGGTATTGGAGCTGCTAAAAATAGTATAGTATAGTATAGCACAAGTATTACTATTATTGAGAAGGTTACCTTGCACAATTTCCCCAATTACAAAAATCAATATTACACATTAAATATTAGTTTTATAATATTGTTTTCTTTTTAGTTGTTGTGGGACCCCTTTCGTGGCTTAAGTCAATCTTCTGCATAAGAAACCTCGATTCTTATTTCAAAACACTATCGTACTTACTGGAAATGTACACAAGTTCTGTAGTATTAAATATATGACGTAACTTTATTTAATCAAGTAATTATTTAAAGTTCGATCTAAGCAAGTGGTTTTACATTTAACGATGCATAGTGCTTTAGAGGATTACAATATGGGGCAGCTTGTTCAACTTCAACGCAAATTTCTATCTCTTCTGGGGGTGCGGGATACTGACATACAGCTCTATAACGGGTACTATCGCAGTCCCAATCCATATAATGTAATTGTTTATAGCTATAACAACATGGCACACACTTTTGATGCATTTTGTTAGGATATCCGACCAACCACATGTCGAAAGGGATTTTTTCGTTTGTGGGATGCACAACAAAGTTGCGATTTTCTTTGAGGCAATTAATTGCTGTCCAAGCACCTTTAAGAAAGCAGTTTATCTCTATATCTTCAGCTCTGAAAAATTTCAGCAGAAGTTCCCTTTCCATTTCATTTTCCACCACCAACATCTGGGCCTGTTTCTGAGCGCAAAAGACCGCGGCCTCACGCCACTCCATCTGTAAGATTTGGGAGGTAAGCCACTAAAAGATTTTAAATCAATATAATATGTACCGTATTGTAGGATATAATGTAGCATTTATTGCCCACGAGCTTAAAGCCCTCCCGACAAGTTGCCAGAACACAACTCAAGAGACTTATAATACACAGAGATCTAACAGTAAGCATTACTGGCACTTGAGTTGTCAGAATTTACTGATTCCTTAGATATTTGAATACCCTTTTATAGCTGCTTCTTTGAAGCTTAAGATGTGGCTGCACATTTAAGTTTAAGTCAATAATACGAATAATAAATTCTCAGACGCGACCGTGTTATGCAAGACATGAAATAGTTTGTTAGAACGACAGGCAGATGTAATGTTTTGTATAGGTAAGGAACAATTAACATCAGATCTGATCATCATTGATCGGAATCAATGGCAATATTGGTAGGCCTGTCACCCTTTCTCTTTTTACTGAATCGAAATGTGCAACGCATAGTCATAGGTACAGTGTATTTCAGAGTCGGGACATCCGCTTTGCTTTTCAAAGCAAAAATGCAATTTTGAGAAATCAAACGGGGATTTTATGCATTCAAAAGACGTGCTCCATTAAGTGGGGATTATGTAAGGACTTAGTGGCTTTTCATTTAGAAATGGGTATGGGCCATTTAAAATAAATTAAAATAAAATATAAGCACAAATGAATGCTATGTCACGAATTGGACTGTTCTTCTTTCGATAGTTTTGCAATATATCAAGGCGTTGAGAAAATAATGGAAAATGTATTTGAAATGCATTGGCACGTATAAAGGACGCGTAACTACATTGCTTGGTTTCCTTGGCATTACACACATCAGTGCACAAATTAGATAAATAAAATACTTAATGTTTTAACTGTAGATTAACGATATTTTTCAACCAGCAGAAAGAGCAGAAACTTAAAACGCTTGTGGAACTGAAACTGTGGAACATTTTGAATCAATTGTGAAGTTCGGAGCAAATATAAGGTTATTGTCTTATTCTATTCATCGCGTTATGATATTGATCTTCACAACGGATTAATATATAGGCACACATACTCGTATATATACGTAATCTAAGACAAGAGAATAGTTTGAATACTAAAACATTCAAATATTTGTCCGCCTGATCGTATAGATTAAAAATACTTAGACTATTATGGTTGACATTAATGTTTGCCAACACAAAATCTTTAAATTTGGCTAGCTTACCAGCTTACTTTTCTATTACTGAGAGCTAACTGTAAAGATGTGGACACACATGATTTAAATAGCAATACAAGTATAGCTGATTGAATTTATTGATTAGCATGCATTTTCTTCAATTTAACAATTTGAGCTCCCAATATATATATTTATTGAATAATTTTTAGAGGAGCTGGCCCCAAGGGTTATATTTATATAAAGGTGAACAGTAAGGATTCTTGTTCTTTTGCCTAACGCAAATTCTTCCCTTGGCTAGGAGCGGGGGTGCTTGACCTGGTGGAACTTCTGTTGGTGGCCAGTTTATTGGTGGTCCCTGTGTTGGTGGTCCCTGTGTTGGTGGGCCCTGTGTTGGTGGCCCCTGTGTTGGCGGTCCCTGTGTTGGTGGTCCCTGTGTTGGTGGACCCAGTCCCCCCCGCCATTGGCAGGCTGATGCGAACAGAGTATTACAGCTAAAGTCCTCTAATGTGATGCTTCTGCGTGCCTTCCTGCATACGGCTACACATTTATTTGTTGGTCCAGGTGGGCCTGCAGAGAGCTACAACATATTCATTTAGAAATAAACCAGAATAGTTTTGAAATATGTTATATATTTTGTTATTTAACTTTACCGTCCATATGCTATCAAGGGGGCAATTGCTTGGCCAGCTTATCGCATTCAGGTGAGTACTTAAATCATTAACTTCCTGTTGGTTCGCAAACGCTATGAGATCAGCATTATAGGAGGCACATCTGTTTTGGGCATTTCGCCAATCGAGCTGTTAAGAGTGGTTATAGCTTAGCTTTACAATCTTAAGCAGTCATTCCTATCTTGCCTTTAGCGTTTCAAAATACAAACACTTTCTGCCCACTGGAGTAAAGCCTTGAGGACAATTGGCCACAGCGAAGCTTAGGGAACATAACAGAGCCGCCAGATAGCTCCAAAGAGACGTCATTATGGTGCCAATAGACAATCTGAACTGCTTTCTCCAACATTCGCAGTAGAATTTATAGGCAAAGCTTCAAATAATACATTCAAGGTTATATAAAAAAATTAATTCCTGGCAGATGCTTTTGCATGCAAATTCTCAAATAAAAATGCATGCAAGTCAAAGGAGAGAATATTTAAAAAGGGAGTGAGTGGGTGTGGAAATTGAAAAACACAAACACTTTTTAGCCAAGAATATTTATTTATTTGTGTAAATATTTGTATCTATGCCAATTGTATATTATCTTTTTCTAAATCTGAATTGTAATTTGATTGCGAAATATGAACGTGCTTATCTCACATATTGCTACCTATTTTTAACTTTTAACTTTTCAATTCTAATATGGTTTTTTTTTTCAAATAATTTATTGTATGCCTTGCAGAAAATATGCGACACAAATAAAGGCAATTCAATATTTTGTTTACTTATTGAAAACTAATAAAAGCACAACAATACCAATAACTGAGTGAACTAAAAATAATTTGTCATCGTCACTTTATAGCGTCACTGGAACTGTCGTCTTCAGATAGCCATAGGTGTGATACGACACTGCAGACCCCACATGTGCGGCAAAAAATCCCAAAGTCACGTACTTAGCATGGCCCCTAAATTTGAAAGCCAACCTCAGCCAATGCGAGCATGAGCTACGTATTCACATTTAAGCTGAAAAATGTAAATAAATGAATTTATGCAATGTTTGTTTTGAAAGCCATATCAGAATATATCCAGGCTACGTTAATTAGAAAGGCACTCTTACCGCAGCTAATAGAAGAAGAAGAAGAGACAAACGCTTTTCTAAGTCACGTACAATGGAAATATGCGACAATAATTGCATACATTTTTGAAATTATATTCTATTCTTATTTAAAACTTGATGGGAATACATTCTGCCAATATCTCCACTTGACTTGGAATACTTGAGTTTATCATTTTCTACCTTGGCGTATTATGAAAAGCTGTTGCAGCCAGTTCCACATCTTACTATTTTGCTGTTTGCTTGAGCCCTGGTACGTTAATGTTCGGCCAGCCCTAACTTTAAGATGCATAATCGATTGTAGAGAGTTATCTAAAAGAAGTTGAGTTGTGAAGACAGAAGGAAAATTGACGCATGGATTTTTGTAAAACTTAAACGCTGAAAAAAAAAAATTAAGAATATATTATTTGTACCTTAAACCAAGAGTTTATTTCCCATTAGGGAAATCTGAGGTGTAATAATGGGGAGAACCACCCCATAACGCTACATACATAAGCCCTATAATTAAACCCATTTTTGTATACCATAAAATAGTTTACTATCAATATATTTCCTTTTTCTTAAATCAATGAATCAGTGTCTTGCTCAAACTTTATTCCTAGAAAGAAGAATAATGCAATATGTTTAAATTATTATTATTATTATCACATGTTAATATACTTATTATCGACGCTTGATTCATGCACCGAAAACTATTCTCTGATTCAAACCAGAAATGTTTGCTTAATGCCGTAACATTATAGTTACTGAGCTGCTAATTTGCTTATAAATAAAATTCATAATTTTGGCGAGTGTAGCTCTTCGGAGCATTCTAGACTATAGTCGTTTGGCGACATCGTGCCAAGTAACACGAACACCGGACCCATATGCAAATCAGCTACGGCCAGCTGTCTAGCGGACTGTAGACATGCAGAGGCACGTAGACATCAGCCGAGCACTGCATTTTGGCTGTGCACCTTGATGTGATCGGACGCGACGCAATACAACTGATTGTTGATACGCAGAATAAATATAAATATTCCGAAAATAGTGAATATATTCATCTTTTATTTCGTTGGTTATTGGTAACATTCATATTGAAGATATAAATAAAGTTGTGAGCTTGTGCCAGTCATGGATTACCGGCCCTTCCATTTGTTGATGCTGTGCAGCTTGTGCTTGCGAGGCACCAAAATGCAATCGACAATGAATAATAATGGGGAGTTCACACACAACGAACTGCAAATACTCAGTCAATTGGACGACGATGTGGATTTGCGTTATGTAAATTGGCCTCTGGTGATACCAATGCTGCTGCAACGCCAGCAGTTGCGCCTGTGCATGGCTATATATCGGTACGATATGTTGGTGGTAGAGAACACGCCCTGTGAGACGCTGCTGGCTAGCGTGATGGCTGACTGCGACATTGGAAATATCGAGGATATTAGCTTGACTGTACGGGATGCCTTTGGCAGCATGCTCTTCGATACGATGCAAAAGTGTCGCCCCGGCTTGGAGATCTTTGGTGTGCGTTGTCGACGGCGCGCCTAAAGTCTGAGAATTTAGTCTTTAAAGGAATACCTTTTGTTATTTTTTTTAAATGTTTGCTCTATTTACCAAATACTACTGCTGGACTCCCTTGTCATTTAAATGTGTCAATAAAAATCAGAATGAAAGTAAGGCAACTAACTATTCGCTGCTACGAGCTGGCTATGTGGGTGAAGGCTGTCAGTGTGCATTTGGCTCAACACGAGTCCTTGCTGAATTATGACAAATGACGATTATAATTTGTAAAATGTTCCTTACATATAGACAGCATCAAAGCGTAAAGCAAAAGCAGAGCTCAGTCAAGTAACTAAACCACCAAGCAACGCCCATAACAAGACCCCGACGTGTTCAGTTTGTGGGCACATTGTGGGCTGGCCAATGTGGTTGTTGGTCTATGGCCTACTTTTCCTCTTGTTGTTGCAATTAGCAGAGACAGTAAGATCGGGGATAAACGAGGAGACGCAGATGCGGGGGCAAGCAAAACATAAGCGCTGTGGGCAGCAGCGGCACCACCACAACCACCTCCAGCAGAAAAACTGATGGCTTGATTTTTCCATTAAACACTCAAATGGAAAATTGCACAGAGCGCACACACACACACACACTTCAATGGATATACAACAGAGCCATTTGTTGTTTCTGTTTTTTCTGCCTCCGCTCTTGTTGTTTTCCCAGGCAATTATCGTCTAACGTGCTGCATTTAGCTAAAATGAAGCACACCATCTGCCATTGTATGCAATGATTTTCTTGGCAGCGACCAATTTCCTCCATAAACTGTAGCATAGTTTGTGGCTGAGCCCGAAATGCGCTCCAATCACACATACATACATACATACATATGTCTATATCCGAAATTTTTGAGAATCAAAAGGAAAGTGTAAATGCTATTACAGTGGATGCAGGAAGTAGTTAGATGAGCCAAGCCATGCAAACAATGTGATTTTGCCGTCGATTTAAACTACGATGCAATCAAATTATAGATTTATTGATAGTTAATGAAATTAAAAGAGACAGACAAGAGCCAAACTCCAAACACTCTTTAGAAAACACTGGTATTTTCAAACTAACTAACTCTACTTTATATCTGTTATAAGTGTTTCTTAGTTTGCTGAAACTTGTTGAAAATTGAAATTGTTTACTGATTTAATTACTTTAAGCAGATTTGGAAATATTAATATCACAAAAAAAAATAATTTAAAAATAGTCTTAGTCTTAGCCCGTTATCGAAATGGTTTTAAGTTACAGTTGTATTGAATCACACAACATTTTTCAAAAAAGTGGACAGCAAGAGTAGATGAACAAAAAGGTACATAATTGATTGAGTTATGATTAAAAGATTGAATTATAAATAGGTTTTCTACATCGCTACAGCTATAAAATATGAGTTAAATATTGTGGTTATTATAGACACTAAGAAACTGGTGAATAGTATAAATACGAATTCAATCAAACGAGAATAAATGAGTAGCAGAAAGAAATGAGATTGATTATTATATATTGTTGAAATGTTAAAACATCATTATCAGAGGGGGAGACCTGCAATGAGTATGATTTTAAATAAAAAACAAATCTGTCGTGTTAGTGCCTAGAAAAAACACTCATAATAGCTTAAGTATTCCAACAACTATTCCTGCATATACGTTAAAATTCCAAAAACGAGCACACAAACAACAGACACAATAGTTCGCATAACTAAATAAAAAGGCTTAAGCATTTTTATTATGCTAATTGATCTTATTCAAAAATTTTTTTACTTAAAATTACAGCAGCAAAAATGTGGCGGACCTTACTTAAAGAATTTATGTGAAATAAACTTATGCGTAAATCAACTATTGCAACTTAATTAAGTTATGTTTATTGAAAAGAGAAGCAAGTGAAGACACATTTACTTGTATCTGAAGCATTGTTTGTTGAAATGTTGAAAATGTTGCATTCATTCGAACGGTTTCATTGTCACGCTATTTTGTTAAGCGCTCTCAAAGCAATTCACAAAATGATGAGCACAGAAGTGCAACAAAATGTAAATGATTTGTTTAAATTACTTAAAATATTTACTTTGAAAGCAAGTGGAAATGCTGCAGTAGTAAAATCAGCAGCAGCAATAGCAATAGAGGCAACAACAGATACACAGACATCGATTAAGTCGGGGCACTCAACTAACAAACGCTCGGGTGCGTGAAAGAAATGGGTTTGGATCGTTTTCCTGCGGACTTGATTTTAAGTTGTGAATAAACTATAACATGGACAACATTTTTAATATGTTGAGATTATAAATGCTAGCTAGTCCTGTCTTCTATTTCCTGAATGTTGAATGTTTTTGGTAGACATAAAGAGACGAGTCGGCTTGTTGACTTGTCCATCTAAAATTATTTCACTACCTCTTTTTAAAATGGCGATTAGCCTTATGAACATTTATGGACGAATCAAATAAACGCCTCCACAACGCCCCCAATTTAGGCTTCGTATTATTTTTTAGCTCCTTTTGGCGTCACGATGAACTGCGATAACAAAGACAGTCGGAGCCCATCTCTAGAGCTTGGGCGGCAAGTTGACAAATGAATATGCAAGTGGCGGGCGCAGACTCAAGTTCGTTAAAGGCGCGGCGTGGGTCATCAGCGGGAGGATTGGGTCGGTCATTAGGCAAGAGCACACTGTGCCGTTAGCTGTTTGTCCAGCACCAACAACAACTGCGCTGGCAATAGCTTGTCCTGACTTCTGGCGCTGTCAATGTGCAGTCCCGTGCTGTGCAACTTAAAATATGCATAAACAAATGAAACAAACTGACTCTGACTGACTGCCGAACTGGGGACTTTGCACTGCTTTTGATGCATTTCCGTCGCGCGGCACTGTGTCGTCTGTTCGTATGTTTGTCTGTCCAACTGCTGTACTGCACTGTCTGTCTGCAAGTAATTAAATTTCGCAAGAAATTCTTTGCATTTCCTTCTTTGATTTCATTGCGCTCCGCCCATTCGCTAGCTAACTACTATTTGCATTGAAAAGCGAAAAAATCTATTAACTTGCGCTGGTACTTCTCAATAATTTATGCAACTTACTTTGGGGCTTTAACAGAGCGCACTCAGTGGCTGTGTGTGTGTGTGTCGCATTCCTGTTTGCTCTTATAGCGGGAAAATACTTTGCATACTTTTGTGCGCGCAGTCGTCTCTTTGATGAGCATAGACAAAGCGACATAACTGAAGCTATGTAGTATTGATTGTTTTAAGAAGAAAAGCAGTGACTGTTATTGAATGTGCTCTGCTTTAAGTGAAGCTCTGACACTAAAACCGAACAATATGAACGTTCATAAAAAGGAATGCCACATAAACTCGCTGCAGCAGCATCATCATCATCATCAGTGCACCCGCACACACACACACACACCAGCTCAAGTGTGGGTGTACGTGTATGGTAAGCAGTTTCCTTTTACTTAGTCACTCGACACACTTTACAATCGATTTATGGTCAACTCCATTGGTCACTTTTATGCATTCTCTCACACATTTTCGACACGTTTACTTTGTACGTATTGACCTATTTCAGAGCCAACAATATGAGCGTCTTTTATTGTTGGTTTTAGAAAAGGGGCACTGTGCGGGAGTGAAACTAGTAGGACAGTTATTTACTATTAAAGTAAAGTAGTGAGTGGCAAGGCAATTCCAATGAGAGCTTATCTCAAAAGCATTGAGAAGGTACACGTATATTAATTGATAAAATTGAACTTCAAGCTATGCTATATTCGTGAATACTATATAAAGAATATAACTGTTTAATTATTGATATTTATTTGCTAATATTTTTCTTTTCTGCGCATTGAAAGCAGAGCAATGCAGTAAGCATGGCTGCAGTAATTGTGGCCGCAACCTTGAAGGAACCAGAATCAACCAACTTTGTGCGAAAACTCTGACGCTTTTTGTTTTTATAATTAATTGAATATTAGAATTTTCCCAATGCCCAGAATTTGCAGACCATGTTGTGTGTATATAGAATATGTGTGCAAAGTTTGGTTAATGTAGCTTTTGAAATTTGGACAGTATTGGAAAAATTCGGTAGCGGGGGAAGGTAGGAACAATTCCAAAAAATAAAATAAACTTGTCCTTTCACGGACTTAGAAGAATCTGGATACCAACTTTGGTTAATCCAGCTTTTATAGTTTCCGAGATCCTTGCGTTGTGATTCGTCTCGTCTCGCTGATTAGGAATATATATACTTTATGGGGGCGGAGATGCTTCCTTCTGCCTGTTACATACTTTGCACAAACCTTATATACCTTTTTTACCCTACGGGAACAGGGTATAAAAGGCTTTGTGTTTATAATTTATGACAAGAGTCAGTGCCGGACAATTATTGCCTTCTACTATATTGGCTTTTATTGAAACAAACCCCCTTCATTTAGCATTGACCCATAAATGTTGCCTTACTTGACATTTCCTATGATTTCGTCATCATGATTGGATTAAATTCTAATTCATTTTATTATTAGATTATTACATTGTGGAGCAAAAAGCAAAACATACTCATATTCTGTCGACACAGCCATATGCACACACATTTTATTGCAACTGTATGAGTTTTCAATTTGCTTTATTTTCAGTGTGGACTTGTTCTCTTTTCTGCTGCTGCTGTTCAGTGAATTCTTCCATTTTATATTGAAAACATTTTTGGTATTTGCGCCAATTTCATTCTAAATTGAGCGCTACCCACAATCGTATATTTTTAATGCACTGAACGACGAGTGGACAGACAATGTGCCTGGCGCTCTTTTCCAGCTGAATCGTTGCGCAAACGTAAGAAATTGCAGAAAATTGTCTGTGTGCGCGCTGTTTTTTGTTGTGGATTTTTCTTCTTCTCGTCTTTTTTTCCGCTTATTTCCTTTCCTTTATTTGCAGTGGATTTTGAACATTCCAGACTCTCAAACGATTGCATTGCGCATCCAAGATTTATAGCTTATTGGTGGGGCGGCGACGTTGGCGGCGGCAGCTCACAATTAAGCCATCAACTCCCATATAATCAATCTGTGTATAACTGGCAACTTCAAAGAGCAAATCGCGCATGTTTGACCCAATAAATAAAGCTCAGAAAAACCA